GTACCCCCGCAAACTGCGCGTCGTTCCTTTTCTCCGGTTTCTCCTTCCCGTCAACGCTGTACCGACCGCCCCTGCACCGCGGAGAGTCTCCTTCGCCACCACGTTCAGACGCCGTCCCCGACCGCCCCCGCACCGTGGCTAGCCTCTTTCTCCACCACGTTCGTCTGCCTCTTGGAGGAGGAGATTTGATCTCAACTCCTTCGCCCCACTACCAGGGGGGATCTCCGTTCCCGGTTCCTCCTCGCTGCTGCTGGAGGAGATTCCCACTCTGCCTCCCTTCGTAGCTACCTGAAGAAAGTTTTTAGTTTTTACGTGGAGGCTCTGTTGCTTTGTATCCTGCTAAGAAAAACTTATCATTCCATTACTGAGTGCGTTTTTCGGCTCTTACCGCGCCCACACTACATACACCAGAAGCAATATGAAGTAACATTGTGCCCTTTTGCGCTTACACCGCTGGCATCTCATACAGCAAAAGAGATATTTTGTACTTTATTTGCTTCTTTCCCGAGGTCGCTATCCTGCTCCTTCCATTTTGTTTTGTTTGCCACTTCATTCTTTTCTTACTAGGGGGCCGGAATTTTTGTTCTGTACTTCTAACTCTAGTGCTTGCGCTAACTTTACTCGTCGCTGTTGGTAAAAGAAAATTGAAACGGAGGGCAAAGAATCCGTAATTATGTTCTACTCTGTTCCTGGCCCTAGATAACTACGTATGGGTCCTGCCGTTCGCCCGCAACACGACAGCTGCCCCGGTTTTCCCCCTACGACCCACCCTACCCAATCTGTGTGGGGGAGCTCGCCCATGCATCTTTGTTTGCGAGCCACTGACCTTCTTTCTCGGTGTGCGCGTGCTTGTCAGTGCTCATCCTAGGGAGTCGCATGAGCAATTCTTTTGAGCTGGGGCTGCCCTTGTGCTCTTGGGCGGTTTTAGTTCTGCGTAGAGTCGCGCACACTGTTACTCATGACCTTCTATCTGCCCCGGCGAGGTTCACCTCCCCCAGCTGTGGGATTCTGCGGCGGCTGCGACAGGCGAGATCGTAGGAGCGTATGCAGTTCCGTATGCAGTGGGCTTTGCCTCTTCGTCCACGATAAAACGCGTAAAAGTATCTGATTCCGCTCACGCCTCTTCTTTGGCGTCGGGCTCGGTGCACGTCTGGCCGGTCCGACTGCTGTCGTGCTGCGACCGCTTCCTCGGTCCCGGTATATTCTTTATTAGTTATGTCCTGGTCGCGCTAGATAGATTTATTTCGAAAGCCGCATTTTGATCCTGTTATGATTATCTTACCTGTTTTCGATCAAGGAAGGACGACCAGTATGCGATGCCATCTTGTTTCTTTCTTTCCCCACGCCGTTTTTTCGCCGCCGCAAAAAGGATCGGATCCAGCCCACGCTGGGCACACAAAAAAGATCTTCTCACTTGATCCTGCCACTCTTGTGGTGCTTCTTCTACTTCTCGCCGTTGCCAAACAGACCAGTTTTTCAGATAAAACTGACAAAAAACTTTGGCTAGAAGCAGACTGCCCTTCGCTGTACTGCTACCCCTAGACCTTAGCCCTTTCTCTATTCGCATCATTCTTTGCGTAACTACAAGCAAGAGCTTCTCACTTGCGCATTTGTTGCAGTGTCTTGTAAAAGTCGTACCATCGCGACTTAGCTACAAACATAAATTCGAGAACATGTACAAGATTCACAAAATTGGTAGTATGCTGTTCGCAGGGCTGCGCAAGCACAAGTAGTAAAAGAGATCTAGAGAGCTCTCAGTTTGAATAACGACAGAAAGCAGGATAAAACACATCCAATGACAATTTGGGTTCGAATCTCAACAAGAGCGATTGCGATAGGGAAACGCCCGAAATAGCGTGTAGCAAATTTGCGCAACCGCGGACCACGAGGGCGAAAGGCCGTCGCAGCGAGCCTTGCTAGTCCGTCACCGAAGTTTGCGGCACGCAACAAGCCCGCCGCCGGTACTAAGGCGTAGACTGACAACGAAAAGGAGAGGCAACGAACCAACCGCGCACCCCCGGCCCTCGCCCCAGCCAAGAAAAAAGCGGTCGGCGCGGGGCTGCCTGGGGCCGATTTGTGGCGGGCCGGCGTTGCTTTGGCTGGCCGAGCCCATTCATTGGGGCGCCGGGCCGCCAAGGTAAGAAGGCGGGCCGGCGCGCGGGGCGGGCAGGAAGACCGGCCGGCCTGGGTCCCTCCACCCAGAGTAAAGGGGGCCCTGCCTGGAAACCGCGCGCGGGCCCACCTGGGAAACAGGGCGCCGGGCGAGTCTCGCCGGCCGCGCGCGCCACCGGCCCCTTTCGGCAACAAGGCTCCCGGGGCCTTGGCGCCGCGATTGCGGGGAGAACGAAGGCAGGAGGGCGCACCCGCAGAAACAAATGGCGGCGCTGATGCGAGAGACGGGCCCCTCCGGTCCGCATATCTCTGCCGCTTCCGCCGGCGCGCCTCGGTCGTGTTCGAGCGGCAACGCGATGGCCACCTCCGGCCCCGCTTCATCCTCGCGCGCCCTTCTGTCCGAGGGGCCGCCGAGGTAGGGCCGCCTGCGGCCTTCCAAGGGGGCCAGGACCTGTAGGAGCGGTAGGGCGCCGCCGGCCCCGGGGCGGTGCGCCGCGCGGGGCCGGCCCGGCCCGGCCCATCGCAGAAGGGCGCGCGCGCCGCGCGCAACCAATGTTCCAGCCCTACGGCGCCAGCAGGGGGGCCGGGCCCGCGGGCCCGCCCACACTTGCCAGCAGCAGCGGAGCGGGGGGATTCGGGCGGGCCCGCCTGGAGCTCTCGGGCTGGGCCCTGCCCGATTTCTTGTTTCCTGCCCTCCCCATCCCCGCTAGAGTCGCAAATGCCCCGCGCGCCCTGCCCCCTCGCTTTCCTGGAAGCTCCCGCGGTCTTGTTTGATCTGCATCGGCAACCAGATCACGCGCCGCATATCAGGCGGGCACTCCGCTCCCGGCGTCCGCGCCGGGCCGCTCTATCGCGTCGGCTAAATAGATCACCAAGAGGGGGGGCAGGCGTGGGCCCGGCCCCGGCCTCGCCAACACCACGGCGCCGCGCGCGTCCAGGATCTGGCCCGGCTCAAAATCTGGCAGGCGAACTCGAGGCGCGCCCCCCTTGGCTACAGGCTCTGCATCGGGGCGGGGTGCGAAGCGTTTTCGAACCACCATCGACGTCCGCCATCCACTACCCTGCTGCGCTCCTTCGTGCAGACCCGACTACCTCCAGACAAGTCTGGAAGGCAAACTGAGCCTTGAGCCTTCGTTCTCAATGAGGAATCAATTTTCATCGTGGCCAAGAATTATAACCAAGCATTTCTTGCAGCTCCTCATGCAAAACAGATTTTATTCCTGGTTCACCCGCATCACAAGTTCGCACTCAATTATTGCCAGACTACCCAGACATGGTTCCAATGCGTATAGGTCTCCTGCGCGCAGTTTCCCGAGCTTCTTGTCCCACAGAAAAAGACAGCAGGTAGCGCATATTTGTAAAAATGGAAAAAAGATGAACACACAGAAAAACAAAAATCTGCACTGCGGATCCGAATAAACTTAAACAGCGTGCGATGGGCTCGCCCATGCTAGATTTTTTGTTATTTATTTTTTGCATTTATAGGAATGTGCCCTGCCTACTTTTTTCTGTATGATACTTCACTTCCAGCGCCGTCTTCGGCTCTGTCACGCCTCTATGCATTGCAAATCTTTCTGGGTCTGGATAAAAGTACGCGATTTGTCATGCTAAGCGGGCTTCTGTTCGGCATAAACGCAACACAAGTTTGTCGGGTCTTATTGCGAATTCCGATTCTTTCGTGTTTCGCATTGCAACTCCCTTCGTTCCAGTGCGACAAGCACAAGAAAGCTGGCCCACCCTCTTCATGAAATACAGGTGATCTACTTGGCGTCACGTAATTATTATACTCACATTCTGCACCACAATTCTTCGGGCCCAGACAGTGTACAACATGTACTTCCAATGCATAGCTCCCGGCTAGAGGATTCTCAGTCTCGTCCACTTCGATGCTCCGAAACTCTTTGACATCTACCCGGCACTTCCGCTTTTTCAACACCGGCTCCTTATTTAGTACCGCTGGCAGTTTGTTCGAGTTGGCCAGGTCGAGGGCCTTCAGCGCTGCGGCCGTCAACGGGAGTCCGTGCGAGGCGGGCTTGGGCTGGTCGGCCCGCTCTGGCTTGGGCTTGATTTTGTTCGCCTCGCTCTTGTGCGCCTCGCTCAAACGCTTGTTTGCAGCTGCAAACGCGTCCCGGTCGAAGGGGGCGATCGGCGGCTTAGCGAGGATCGGCGGCTTAGCGATCAGCGGCTTAGCGATCGGCAGCTTAGCGATCGGCGGCTTAGTAATCGTCAGGCCGAACGGGTTACTGCTCATGTTCTGACTTGCGGGACCTTGCGGCAGAGGCCGAAGCCGCTTGGCAGCGGGGGTCGGGTTGTCTTCGGGCATTCTACTTGCTCACTCTACTCATAGCCTTTTCTACTGTGATTTGATTTCCCGAGACTGATGAATGAGCGGAAATCTCAGATAGAAGTCTTTGTCTTTCAGAGATTTACTTCCTTTCTTCTACTTCTTCATCTTCGCCACAAAACGAATTTGCTGCCAGAAGTAGTGGAGATCTTCGTAGTTTTATCAGGAGCTCCTCCTGCCACGACCTATTACAAGTACTAGTACGTCCTTCTGCAGTTGTAAATCTACTTGGATGGAAATATACATGTTTTTACCAAAAGTGTCAGATGACTTGACGCAAATCTTTCAGTTCTTGGCCGAGGAGCCTGGTTGAAGACCTGAACCAACATCGTAGTCATGAACTTCTACTTCGTCCTGCTCGCGCGCAAGTTTATTTTCAATAAGTAGTAAAGTTGATACATTGTGATGAAGTACTTCATGCGTCCAGCTCCAGCCGTTCACCCAGAGACGCGAAACATCTCAGGATCTTCGCCTTGTTGACCTCGAGCTGAAGAGGATTCGCTGAGAACGGTCAGTGCCGTCAGGATGTTGTACAGAAGGAAGCCAATTCAACAGCAGCTCAAAACTGGTGTATCGTGCTCGTTCTGTTGTTACCTTGTCTTGTGTACAACCAAAATGAAAATCTAAATCTTACAACCAAATGGTCAGAAGAGACCCGGACGTTCTGTAATAACGTAGCCTACGTGGATCTCGGCCGGCGGTCAAGAAACATTGACTCCGGAAGGTGGAAAAGTGGAAATTGAAAATGTTCACACGCCGCAGATTTTTCGTGATAAGTCGCGAAAAATAGAACAATGCCAAGGAATTTTCATTTCCGCCTCTTTTTCTGCGAAGACAAGCACGAAACAGGAGCCTAAACTTGGTGAAACACCAGCAGCACGACCAATATTTTTGTTCAGGTTTTTTTTTCATCTTTAAAAAAATCGTGAGAGGTCGAAAGTTCCATGTGCTGTTGAAAATGTTTACGTAAGATGCGAGTCCAAGCAACAATCACAGCTGCGCTGCAGGAAACAGCTGTACAGTAGAGACCAGCTTGTTGTTGTTTCCTGATTGAGTTTATTTTCAAACACACTAAGAAATCCTAAAAAATTTTTGTAAATTTTCAGTTCATCTACTACACCTCGACGTTTACAAAAAGTTGCTTCTAAGAACTTTTACAAACTTGTCGTAGTCTGGGTTATTTTGTGCTACCGCTACGACCACTGTCGTCCGTGCGAATACTAAAACAAAAACGAGGCGCATTTTTATACCATGACAAACATTTTTGGTTGTTGCTTCTACTTCGGTGGAAAAACTACCGGAGAAAGCCACCGACTCTGTTTCGCAAACGAGTGTTGGTCATCGATCTTATTTATTCCAGCCCTTCGTCTACTAGCGGGAAAAGATCCATGCAGAAGAAACGCAAAAAGTGGCAGTGTCGTCCACCATTTTGATTCGTGTACATCATCTAAAACTAGTAGATCTAACCCACCAATATCATGAAACATCAATATTGATTGCTCCATGGACCACCTGTTGTACCTTGGCTCTAGTTGTACTTTTATACACTTTGCGCGGCGGCTTCGAATCAACGTAGCTGAGGTTGACGTGACCGCAGCTGCTAGTTTGTGGTTACAACCAAAGTCGGCATTTGATGCATTCGTGAGTATTACTAAGTACATTTGTCAACATTGTCTCCGATGTTCTTGCAGATGCAGAACTACACTTCTTATGTGTAGTTCAGTTGATGTCCAGATGCACCCTTACCATGTCCATAGCGCTGTTGGTCTGAGTCTTCACCGCATCTTCCAAAGCGCCCGTCAAATCGCCGTAAAACTCGAGGAGTTCCTCGTACCCCTCGTCCTTTTCCCCAGTCTCCTTTTCCTGCTTCTCGTTCGTCTTTTTCGACTGGGATTTCCCCTCCTTCGCCAACCGCAGGCACTCGTTGAGGTGCGTCACGCAGTTTTTGATCGGCTGCGTCACATCGTGGAAGTTGTTGGTCAGTTGCTTCTTGCTGTTGTTCGCCAACAAGCTCGTCGCGGTCGCCGACGAAGTTGCCTGCGCGCCACCGGCCCGCGTGCTACTACCACCGTGGTCCCGGTCCTGACTCATCGACTCGTCCAGAAACAGGTGCCAATTGTCGACGCGCTCCAGCAGGGGGATGGTTTTCTGCCCCTCGTACCAGATCAACAGGCTCGCGGGCTTGCTGTTTTTCAAGTCGACGCCTTTCTGGTTCTTGCCCAGCACCACGTGCTTGTCCACGCCAAAATCGGCTTGCTGGAACCGCCGGGCGTCGATGTAAGCGTCCCGTTGCGATGTATGGACACAGGGAAACTACATTTATGGTAGCATGCTGCGCATCAACTGTGTGTCCATCACGACTACATTCATTAAAAATTCCAAACGAAACCCAAAACTAAAAGTTTTTGTGCTGATTTCGATTTCGGTTGAACCGGTAAGAAGTACGAAACTAGCACATTATGCGACGTCGTGCAAGAATTATGCGATTTTATTGTATCATGACTACGACTAGTTTCTTTGTTTTCAAGCGATAAGACTTCGCGATCTGCATTTTCGTGGACTGGAACATGGAGGGAGGTTTGTACACCTGAAGCCCATTGCCGTAGGAGATGAACCCGCCAGACCCCCCGCCGCCCATGTAGTAATCTATTGCAAGGAAAAATCCCCCCTGCTCCCCATATTGAAAGCGTATCCGTCTGATGATTTGCGGTGCAGATCTGTGGCCACAAATCCTGTCTGTCTCAGAAGAAGAAAGGCTCAGAGAGGCCCCCGCGCCATGCCGCCGGCGATTTGTTTAGGGCGGAAAAATCGGCAAATATCATCATTTTTGCAAGCGCACTTGTTTGGGGGGTAAAAATAGGCTTTTTGTTGGGGGCGCAACATCTTGGAAGCCGACACGCCTCGCGTGTCCCTTCATCTTTTCCACAGGAAACATGATAGCTGAGCTTTGGAGATGCCGCAACACAAAGACCAGAAGCACGCCACAGTGCCTTCGTTCTGTGCGTTGTCGCCCAAATGGCCGGACGCTGTGTCGTGGACCCGCTCTTCGAACAGTGGCCGGGCCGCCTCCCTGACCGGGGCTCGACGAGGCCCTTCGCCCGGAGAAGGAGGCCCGGCCAGGGGGGGTGGTCAGGGGGGTGCATTTTTGCCCCTCCCGGACACCCCTTCCGGGCACCCCCTTCAGGCAGCTTTGGGGTAGCCTATGCCGACCCCCTAATCCCCATTGGAAACTGCCGATTTTGCGTGCCCAAAAAAGGTAGCCCAGAGGCAGCCCAAGCCGACCCTTACCCCCCCCCTTCGGCACCCCCCCGGAAGCACTCGACTGCTGGCGCGTCCGCCTTCTCCATATCCGGTCGGAGGGGGGGGATGAGAAGATATGTGAGCGCGTCCGGAATTGAATGCGGGACATGGGGCGCGGCATCCCGCGCCAGAGGGCCGCAGGCGGGTGGAGCTTCAAGAAAGTGCGGCGGTTTTATTGGAAAAAGGGGAGGGCCGGATGGCGGACCGTAACACCGAAGTGCGGCGCCAACATCTAAATGGCCAACAGGAAAAAAAGCAGTAGCTACACCCCTTACAGCCAGAATATTTTTACCCCCCCAAAAAGCGCGCTTGCGAAAATGATGATATTTGCCGATTTTTCCGCCCTAATTTGTAAGTAATACTGTAAAACGTACAGGGCAGACGTTTGCCATGCTATGTATGCGCCTGCACCAGAAGGCTCCAGGTGGTCCTACCTAGGCTGACGATCTGCGTGCAGTGCTCTATTGCAAGACAAATTTGCATTTGAATTGTGCACACAAATTCCGCAACAAAGATCTGCGTTTTGATATGGGGACGAGGGGGGATTGTTCATTTCGATATCATCAAGGCTGGTACTGTCCGTGATTTCAAGCTCCCCCGAACCGTACCGCCTTCCCGGGCCTCCGCCACGCCCGCTCGTACCGAAACCGTAGACGTCCGCTTCCTCATCGATGGTCTGCAGTCCGTGGTGGTTCTCGAAATGCCGCACGTGGTCCGGTTGCATCACCTGCACCCACTCGATTTTGCATTCCGCCTCCGAAGTCACCTCCGGGTTCTCCAGGATAAACCGCTCCGTTTCCTTGTTGTGCTTCGGAATATCCATCGCGGTGGACTCCTTCAGGTATTTGCTGTTGTCGTGGTTCTCCTTGTACTTGTAAATCTCCTTCCGGTAGTGCAGGCCGCCAAAAGCGAGTCGCTGCAGCACCTGGATGGCCTCCTCGACCACGGGGAGCGGGAAGGGCTGTTTTTCATTTTTTAGCATTTTTTTCACAAGTAGTTTGTGCTGCTCAATTTTCCATTCGCATTCTCTAACTTCGATATATGGTGGCTGAAAAAAGAACGCCAAAATCAAAAAAAAATACCACTACGGATTTTTTGTGATCAGATGAAAAAAGCCACGATAACTACATGTTAGTACCGACGGGAGGCGACTACGATAGATACATACCGAGCACGTCGCCGACCATTATCCTGTGCAAACGTATCGCAATCTTGTATCTTGCACGAAAGAACCGCTTTGTTCTCCTGCGCATGGGCATACATGTCTACTGCATTTGTTCTGTTTTTTGGAAAAAAATTGTCATGCGATTTACACTTGTTACTGTGTCTGCGATACTTTTGCCCTGCACAAGTAGCAGCCAAACATGATTTCGAATTCCCGAACTTGCCGCTCTTTTTCCAGTATCGCTAGAAAGAACTGTCCACCTCCCAGTCTTCATCTGTATTGCGGAAACAGCTTGTTAAAGCTTTCTGTCATGCTCAACATGCAAGATGAGTACTACTAACGCATGGCGTTTTTACACGTGTTTATGTTCTTTTCCCAACAACTTGCTTTTGTTCATGACGCATCCGAGATTTGTTTCTTCTACCATATCGAATCGAAGGGAGCTGTGTTTGCTGAATGTCCAAAATTAAGGTTCTAAACCCGCCCCTGACACTAGGTCGTGTTGACAGCTTTTTTTTTTTGCATACCCCGTTCGCACTCCGCGATTCGTTGAAACACGTACCTGATTACCTTCACGTGATCCGCAGTTTGCACCCAGAGCAAATCCTTCAACGACGCGCCGTTGTTTAGCATGTCCGCGCACGGCAGCACCCGGCTCACTTCGTGGTCCACAAAGGAGACTGCGAGACTGTAGGACTCCGTGACCGCGGTCAGGTAGTCCTGGTTCTTTTCCGCCTGCTTCAGGGCCACCCGCGCCTGGTCCCGCTCGCCCTCGGTGAGCCAGTCCGCGTAGCCCGGTTTGGGATCCACCAACTCGATCTGGTCGTCCTATGGATTGCAAAAATGTCTGGGTCTGGAAGAGTCATGCTACTTTTGCATGACACAGAAGGTCTGGCATGGAAGCTCTAGCATCACAAGTTTCGAGAAGCGTTCGCAATGCCGAAGCCGCATGACAAATCCCTGACTCTGGTGACAGAAAGTGAGCAACTTGAACTTTTGCTGCCTATGCATGAGAGATTTTTTTCTGTTCTGAAATGCGCATCACAAGTTTGTATTCTTCCAGACCCAGACATTTTTGCATTTGATATTTCCAGGGACTGCACGATGTCCACCAGCCCGCGGCCGAAAAACAGTGGGCATCCTGTGCAAAAGTATCGTACTCGTACAAGTGCAAGTCTTGCATTACAAATTTTGTTTCCAAGGGCAAGGCAAATCTGCATTATTTTATTTCTATGCTGAGGAAATTTGTAATGCATTGATACGAGTACGATACTTTTGCACAGGATAGCGGGTCTTCCTGCTCCAGTTGCTCCTGCTCCTCGTCCTCGTTCGCCTTGCCCAAGTGCTCCTCCAGTATCAAAAGGAAAAATCCCCCCTCCCCATATCGAAAACGAAATTTGTGATGCTGTATTTGAGTACACAAATCGACTTGTAATGCTAGAAGGCCAAGAGACGCAGCTGTGGCCTCGTCTACAGGCAATTTGTCATGCTGTTTCCCACTTCCAGCTGCCCCCTGTAATGCTGAAGATGCAAGGCTTATCCACGCCAACCAGCACTACAGTCCGCATCTTTTCCCTTCTAGCATGACAAAGCTGATAGATTTGTGACCACAAATCTGCATCACAAACCTCTATTTTGAGCATGGGGTGGGGGGATTTTTCACTTTGATATCCAGCATGCTCTCCGCCATGCGGAACACCCGGTCCAGCCCGTGCTGCGGCCAGGGCGACTGCCAAAAGTGCCGGTTCCGGGTTTCTTCCGCCGCCTGCAGAAACCGCTGCGCCAACAGAAACGGGATCGCCTCCCGCAACCGCCGTCGGGGTTGCAGCCGCCCGCTGTCCCGCAAGGCGCGCTGCGCGAGGTGGATCCTTTTCCGGAAGTCGTTTAAGCACGAGTTCACGGCATCGCACGAAAAAACTCTTTCAGCACTCTCAAACCTGTCATGCTCCTGTCGCAGCATACTATACAAACTCCTTCACCATGATGACATGCGGCGAAGTTTTGTGCCATCTAAGGAGAAAACACAACATATGAAGCGCCTTTTATTTCTTCCGTGCTGTCGAGCATGCCAAAAGACTGCTTCATCGACGAAGTTGAGACTGAGACAGTAGCTTTTTCTCGCGATACACGGCACTTTCGTTGCACTGGTTCACGCGGAGCAGGCTGGAATATGACAATGCATAACTTCTCCGTTCCTCATTTATTTCATGCAAAATACAAAGCCGACCCTTTTCCCTCTGGCACTGCTTGCATGACAGGTTTCGGAAGGAGCCGAAACGCCACTAGACTGTTGATCGGTCGCGAATTTTTCATGCAAAAGCTGCACTCACTTGTGTAGTTGCTGCTTATGCAATTTAAATGACAGCGAGGAGGAATTCTGCACTCTCATATGGAATCGAGCAATTCTTCGATCATGGGGAATTCGTCCAGCGTGTAGTGAATCTTCGTGACGACAACAGGCATTTCGATCGGGAAATTCAAAATGGTTGGCTTGTCCTCATCGTCGTCTTTCTTAAATTTTGCCACCTTCTTTGAAGACGAACTGGCACTGGAAGCACCTGTTGTAATGCCAGTATTGCCCCCTCCGGCGTCCGCGTCGTCGTCACTATTGTCCAAACTTTCCATGCCCGCAGCGGCGGCGATGCGGAGGTCTTTCAGCTTCGTTTTCAGCTCCTTCATCTTTTCCTTCGCCTTTTTGTCGTCCTTCTTGCCCCGCATCCCGTCCTTTTCCTTCACCATCTCCGCGTGCGTTTCCTTCCGCTCCTTCTTCTTCATCTTCAGTTCCACGACCCCACTGCCATCCGCGCCGTCTTTGTCCCCCACGTCCCCGATCAATTTCCGCCGCGTGTGCTGCGAAAACCGAGAGCAGAGGCCAATCCGCATGAGAAACTCCTGCGCCTTGTCCTTCATGTTGTTCCCCTCGCACAGGTTCTCGTGCTCGCACTGCCGACACATCTGCCCGGCGAAGATGGAAATGTTCCGGCGCCAGACGCCCTCCTTCTGCTCGTGGTCGCGGATCACCTTCAAAATCTCCTGCACCGCCTGCACAAAGTTCGTGTTCCGACCCTGCAGGGCCTGCAGGTCCGCGAAGGTCGAGCCGCGGGTCAACAATTGAAACGCGGGCGGCGCCACGCGGTCCAAATCCAGGGAGAGCGACCGGACCCCGATCGCGAAGTAGCGATCCGCCACCCGGGCGAAATTCTGGTCCGCCCGGGCCAGGTCTGCCTCCAGTTCGTCGGCTAAATTCCGTTTGAGGCCGTCCGCTTCTATCAAATGCAAAAGTGTCTGGGTCTGGACGTGATGCGCATTTCTGAATACAGAAAAATCTCTCATGCATAGGTAGCAAAACCCACCCACTTTCTGTCACCAAAATGGGGGATTTGTCATGCGGATTCCGCATGGCGGAAGCTTCTCGAAAACTGTGACGCTAGAGCTTCCATGTCAGACCTTCTGCGTCATGCAAAAACAGCATGACTCTTCCAGACCCAGACATTTTTACATTTGATAGCTTCCCGCACCCGCTCATTGTCGTCCAAGGCCTGCAAATACGGGAGTTGCAGCTCCACGAGGTCGAATTTTAATTTCGGCGTTTTCTCCTTTTCGATCTCCCGCTCGTACGTCTTCTATCCTGTGTAAAAACGTCTCCACACCAGAGTTGTCATGCAAATGCGCAATGACAGGAACATTTGTAATGCGCAGCTCCATGAGAGGCATTTCCAATCGTGTTGTGGAATCTGTAATGCTGTAAACAGGATGCGAAAGTGGCTTTCTCATGCGGCTTCTCTTGCCAATCAGTACTACACTGGAGAGGGAAACTTGTCATGCACAGCTCCCAAAACTTGGAGATTTGTGTTGCTAGATTCCCAACTTGATTATGGGGTGGAGACGTTTTTACTCACGATATCTTCGCGATCGCCTTCAGCACCGCCGTCCGGCTCGCGGACGCCTCGGTCCAGATCCGCATGGACTCGTTTTGCAAGTCGAGGATGGGCCCGATCCCGGTGAAAAATTGCTCGTTGCAGTTGCTTATCAAATGCAAATGTGCCTGGGTCTGGAAATTTGTGATGCTGTGTGGCATATCATGAGGAGGCCACAATTGCTGGCTCAGCATGACAAGTTTCTGAGCTTCTAGGTGTTGGCTATTCTGTATGACAAACTAAGTTTCTGCATGACAGAAAAGTGGGGCTCTTTGGTAATGTGCATGACAGATTTAAGAGTCATGCCAGACAAGCATGACAAAGTTGCATTTTTCCAGACCCAGACACTTTTACATTTGATATTGCTGTAGTTGAAATAGGGCGAGGATTTGAAGGTCGACGTGACCGGGATTTTCTTTTTGTTCGCCTTCTGCCGGTCCAACCGTTTCCGGTGTTGGTCCTCCAACTGCTTCACCGAGTCGGTGTTGCGGTTGAAGAAGTTGAACTTCGTCCCGCTCCCGCACTTGCTCACCATCAACTCGTTGCCCACGAAATTTACCATCACGGACACCATTTTCAGGTCCCGCGCCTCCTGGAACACCTCCTTCCCGATTTTCACCCACTCGGAAACCGCGAGCACCGACTCGTTTTCGTACACGGTTAAAACGGTTTCGTCCAGTAAATGCGCAAAGTCCTCCATGGAATCGCGGAACTTCAGAAACAGCAGCTTCGTCGTGTGGTCTTGCAAATACTGGCTCCGCAAATTCGCGTCCGTGTTCCCGAATTTCGCCAGACCAGAAAGCGTTTTGCTCGCGGTGGACCCAAACATCTTGGAAAAGCCGGACAGAATTCCCGTAGACGTCGAGGAAGTTTTCGACGGAGCAGCAGCAGCGGTGGAATTGGCTGCTGCCCCCGAACAAGCCGAAGCGCTTTTATTGTCGCCAATAGAACTACTATTGTTTGCAGCTCCCTTGTTTTCCCGCTCCTTCAGCGCAACTTCCCGTTCGTGGTTCAGGAGGTAGTGCTGGTGCTCGACCGAGGTGGTTTCCTCCAGCCCTTCTAAGAGCGAGTTCCGGAGCAGTTTCTCCAGAAACCAGGCTTTCTTCGCGTGCCACCAGTGGAAGACCGCCTGGCAAACCGCGCGACCGGAGATGTGGTTATTGTTGGACCCGTCGGAGGAATTCGAAGACGAATTGTTGTTCATGCTCATCGCTGCACTACCCGCACTGCTGCTATAATTCCCCCCGCTTTGACTCGACCCCCTCTCCCGCACAAGTTGATTCTGTTGAATCTTGTTCAACACATTCTTGTCCGAAATGTTCTGCCCCGTCGCGGTCTTGAACATCGCTTCAGAAATATCAACTGCAAATATCCCTGGATGTCTAGAAGAGTGGAACTTGTAATGCTGTCTGCGGATTCTAAAAATATCGGTGCTGCATGAGCAGCAAGAGGAATCCAGTTCTTGGCACGCGGAGATGCCATTTATCATGCGTAATTAGCATCAAGAAGCTCTCAAAAAATCTGTGATGCTAACACCAGCATCACGGACCTCATGGGTCATGCAAAATGTGCATGACGAGCCCCGACTCTTCGTCCAGAGCCAGAACCAGACATAACATATTTGCAATGCATAAGAAATCACCGTATGCAACTCCGTGCACAGCTGCGCGGTGGAACCCGCTACCTCCAAAATCTTTTCCGCGAAGTGGAGCGATTCTTGGTGCTTATTATCCCAGAGAAAAAAGCTGGCAGGGCATATTTGTAATGCAAAAATACATACACACTAAAATTTGTCATGGGTGGCCCCATAGCGTGCTGTTTCGCATATGCAATACAGATTTTTTTGTGTGCTTATTTTTGCATTGCAAATATGCCCTGCCGGCTTTTTTCTGTGTGATACTTATGGAACCATGATCAGGCTCGAAATCGATAAAGTTGAACAAATCATTTGTCACGTCGCACAAAACCGATACAACGACTGGCAGCGCAAGAATTACTAAGCGGCGCATCAGACACCTAGGTCCAGTTTGTCGTGCTAGTATTTGGGGAAAGAAGACATCCCTTGTTGCCATGCTAACTTCTTTGGCAGGGTTGCTCTATCTCTATCCACAAACAGCCACAGAATCGAACGCCCTTGCCCTTTTCCCCAATACAGGTTTTATTTTGCGCAAGAACAACATTGCGCAATTTCATTGTGCATGGCTGAAGTATTTCACTTTTGTCGATTTCGATTCTGAGACTCTCATACTGCTCCTTGCTGACTTTGTCCTTCGCGATTGGGAAGCCGGACTCCTCCGCCGCTTGGATGTTTTGCTTCTGGTTCTCCTCCAAAATCTCCTGCTTGAACTTCTTTCCCGAACTCTGCAGCTGCTCCGCCGTGTCGGCTAACTCCGACAAAACCGCGGACAAATCCAGTCCGTTCCACTTCGACAACCTTTTCCCCAGCGCGATCACGGACTTGGTCAAGCAGGCCAGTATGAGAGTGCACAACTCCCCCTCCCCCTCATTTGAACAGCATAAACAGCAACACAAGTGCTGGCATAACTGCAGCTTTTGCATGACAATAAATTTGCGACCGATTCTAGTGCTGTTTCAGCTTGCGGAATCTTTCACGCAGGCAGTGTTTGAGGAAAACGGAAAGGACTGGATTTGGTATTTTGCATGACAAATGAGGGGGAGAATGACGTAGGGGGTCGTTGACTGTACATCAGTATCTAAGCGGCGTGCTCCGCAAAGCGGCATGCTCCGCAGCGGTCAGGGGCCCAGATGGAACGGCGCGCAGCAAACATCTCTCAGCGCCCACACTAACTAAACGGCATCCAAGCCATGACACGCCGAAAACCAACACACACTGACACATAACAGCACGGACCCGACGTCATCACATTTTCGCACGTCTGAGCGCGCGTTGTGATCGCGCGTGGCCTCTGATCGCGCGTCGCGGGCTTCGCCCGCGCCGAGGGGCGGGAGTTGTGCATTGTCATAGCCAGTTGCGTCAAATCATTATTCTCCAACGGCACGGAAGTCTTTTCCGGATCGTTCACTTTCAGGACCAACCGCAGCACCCCCTCCGCCATGCCCTCCATGTTCGTGAACTTTTGCGCCGCTTCCTTCGACTTCTTCTTCATCGGACTCCCTTTGTCCCCCGTGCCCATCATGCTCGCGGTCGGGTGCCACCAGTTCGCCCAGGCCGGTTCCGAAAGGTTGTTTTCCGCGGAGGGCCGGTTTTCGAGCAATTTTCGCAACTGCTCGTCAATCATCTCGATGTCCGACTTCTCCTCCTTCGCCGTCTTATTGCTCTTCGACTTGTTATTCTCCGGCGAATTGTCGCCCATCAAACTGTTGAACTCGCCATTGTGGTCCTTGTCTTCCTTATTCCCGCGACAGCCTTTCGACAAGTCAATGCCCAGCAAGGATTTCGCGATGCCGGTTACCACCTTCTCGCCAACCATGCCGACTTTCTCTTTCGTCTTTTTCGCGTAGTGCTGCATAGTTTCAAGATATTTGTTGTCCTCCTGCAGAAACGGCTCCAGCTGCTTCAGCGTGGCGTCCAATTTTTTGATCAGCACTATCGTAAGGGAAAATATCCTTTCCCCATACCAAAAAGAAAGACTTTTGAAAATTTGTGAGATGCAGATGCTGATTTGCGGCCACGTCTCTGTACTGCAAGAAGGCAAAGCCAGAGACTCCGCCGGGCGGCTTTGCAGGCAATTTGTTATGCTGCGTGGCCTCTTGAGGATATTGCGACTGCCTTGCTAGGCGCCTACACCAAAACGCCCCTAGTCAGGCTTTGTATCTGCCTGCAGTCCTCTACTGCAAGACAATGACAAAGCCTTTTTTTGTAGTACACAAATCCAGCATCACAGGTTTCCATTTTGATATGAAAAGGGGGGATTTTCCCTTTAGATAAGCACCTGCGACGGCCGCACCCGTTCGTGCCGCGCCCACTCGTCGCGGGCTTCCTCCCGCCGATGGAAGAGCTGCTCCAGGAGCTGCAGGTACTGGCGAAAGAAGGGGACTTTCTTCTCCAGAAGTAACCCCGTTTCAATTATGCATTGCAAAAATGCCTGGGTCTGGAAAAGTGGAACTTGTGTTGCATGTCTTGCATTCCTGGAAAATCTGTATTGCACAGCTAGCAAGAAAGGCCCTACTTTTTCGTCCTACAAAAACGCAGTTTGTCATGCGTGCTACGCATCAGACGGCGTCAAGTATACTTGTCATGCTTGGCTGCACTTGAGAGCGCCAGTCTTATCCAAGCTTTAGCATCACAAATTTCCAGACCCAGACATTTTTGCATTTGATATCAATCTGGTCCAGACTGGCGAAATCCTTCCTGTTTCGCGCCTGCTTGAAGAAATACCAGGCGGCTTTGGCCCTCAATCGCTGCTCCACATCTAGAATCTCGCGATCGAGAAAGCCGTCCCGGTAATCCGAGCAGCGGTTGCTAAAGTGCTCCACCAAGGGCAGAGACGTGATCGTGGCGGTTTGGTTGGTTTCAGAAAATTGCAGTTCGCACTCCAGAAACAGCTGGGAATTGCTGAAACTGGAATAAACACTTTGCTGGTTGTACTTCGACGGAGTAGAAATAGAAGTTTTTGCGCCATTTTTGACAGAACCAGAGGTTGCGGCCCCTGCACCACCACCGGAAACATTTTTCTTCATGATTTTGTTCATCCCCCCAGTCACGGTGCAGATGGTGGATTGCAGCAAGTCCGGCGAGTTGGCGTTTGGAGAGCAGTGCTGTGCACCTTGATTTTGTCCACCAGTTGTACTAAGTATCGCCGCGCCTGACCCGAAATACGCCCCACCGGCGTAGTCCTCGACCATAGCCCGCAAATCCGCTCGTTCCTTTAACACCACAGCGCAGTCTTCCATCGACTCGTTGTTGTTGAAAATTTGCTGCTCGAAAAAGTGCTTGTCGCTGCACCAGTGGGACACCGCCCAGAACCACTTTTCCGCCTCGACAGAAAGCTTCAGGTAGTTATCGGAGGCTTGCTTCTGGTACATCGGCCGCTTCTCCACGTCCTCGACGCACGCAGAAGCCTGACGCAACAGCAAGTAGCAGAGCCGCTCCGCATCCTGCTTCGCCTGCAGAATCTGCTTCGCGTGGTCGCGGACCCGGAGGAAAAGCGTTTCCATGGTCGGCCGCGGTCTGTAGAGCGCGAGCCCAGGTTTAACATTACTGCTCGTCGGCAAAGAACCTTCTTTCGCTGGTGTGAGAACTTGGTCTCCGACGTTTTGAAGATTGTTGTTCAACATCTCACCCGAAGCAGGAACAAGAAGACCACTATCACCTGTTCCCTGTTCCGGCGTCAGCGGGGAGTTCGTCTTGACCACCATGGTCGTGGTGGAATTGTTGACTTTGCTGAAGAAGTCCATCGACCGCGACTCCTGCGCCTCCGCACGCGCCCACATGTTGTTGTTCCGGTTTTCGATTTCGTCTTCCAAGTCCTTTTCCTCGTCCGTTAACATCGTGAACGAACTGGTTTTTTTCCGCAGCGCCCTGCCGTACAGCCGCTTCGCCTGTTCCCACGCGCACAGCTCCTCGTACAGTTCCGCGACCTTGAGAACGATCCGCAGCCGCTCCCCGTAGTGCGGCAAGTTCCAGCACAACCCGCGGCCGTCATCGCCGACAATACTGTCCGCGACCTCCTTCTTGTTGCCGCCCAACGCGTTCAGCTTTTCCAGGCGCACCAGTAGCACGTGGTACACGTCGTTCCCCCGCCGGAAATTCGCTTCTGCCTGCTCGAACTCGCCTCGCTCCAGCAGGTCCTGCCCGGTCTTGCAGAACGCCACCTCGTCCGTCCCGGAGAGCAACGCCCCGAAATGGTCCACGTCGATGCACTCGCGCAAATCTTCCGGCCCGAAACAGGACCGGAACAAAACCACCGCCTGCGTGATTTGCTCCTCAAAGAAGAACAGCTGCGATTTTGGCCGGGTCACGCACACGTACAACTCCTGCAATTCCTTCTGAAACAGTGCCATCGCGTCCCGTAGATTGTGTTCAAACGACCCGAAGTGCGACCGCTTGTGCGGTACCAGCGGCGACATCGCGCCCAGCCCTTCGCCCTCGATCTTCGCCCAGCAGTGCTCGGAGGCGAGCGAGTGGGAGAGGTAGTTCCAGATCAGGACGGAATGGAACTCCAGCCCTTTCGCCTCCAAAACGGTGAGCACGCGGACGCGCTCCTGAAACTCGGACAGGATCCAATTATCCGAGGAGGTGTCTGACGCAGTCGTGTGGTTTTTGGAAAGAGTCTTCGGCGAGGCAGTGGCTGCAGCAGCTCCAGTACTTGATGTTCCGTTATTTTTCATGCCATTGTTCGTCCCGTGGAGGTCATTGCTGCTGCTATTCAAGTATGCTTTTTTCATCTTCCCGCCCTCCGCCTGTGTCTCAAACAAACTTTCGCCCACTTTCAGAAACGCCTGCCGCTCCGCTTCGTTTTTCACGATCACCGCGAAACTGGACACCATGGAACGCTGCCGGGTCTCCTGCAGAAATCTGCTCAAAAATTCCGCCGCCGGACAGCCCGCACAGAACAACGGGCGGTCGCCGCGCTCGTCAGAAATCTCCCGGGGCAACTTGTCGATCCGCTCGGGCCACAGCTCCCGTAAATGGTCCACGATCTGCGCACCGATGGTCAGGATGCACTGGTGCGTGCGGTAGTTTTTCGTTAACGGAATCACGTCGGGGATGGACTCGTTTTATCAAAGTGAAAAAAGCCCCCACCCCATATCGGAAACGGAAGATGCGCGAATTTGTGATGCTGTATTTGAGTACACAAATCAACGTGTATTGCTAGAAGGCCAAGAGACGAAGCTGCGTTCTAAATTGCAGGTAATCTGTTATGCTGTTTTCCTCTTCCAGTTGCCTTCTGTCATCCTTTATCTGCAAGGCTTTCCCACGCTAGACAGCACTACAGTCCGCATCTTTTGCCTTCTAGCATCACAAAGCTGATTTGTGACCACAAATCTGCATCACAGATTTCCAGTTTGATATGGGGAGGGGGCATTTTTCATTGTAGTACGTTTTTCACCGCGAACATGTTATCCGAGTCGAAGTTCTCGTACCAACAATTCTTCAAGGCGGCGAAGCGGAAGACCCTCCCGGGGGCGATGCACTGCGCCGTGTCGGCGGCCAAGGTGTAGCGCTCCCGCTCCTTGCAAACGATGCGGAACAGGAGAAGTTGGGAGAGCAGTAAATCCTGCGCCTCGTCCACCAAGACCGCGGTGATTTGTCGCTTCTGCTTCCCGAAACAAAACGGCTCCTCCATCATTTCGACCGAGAGCGGGTCAAAATTCTTCTTCGCCCGCATCCGCTGCAGCGCGGAAAGGTTGCTGGCGCCACTGCCGTTGTTCTTCACGCGAGAGAACAAAAACCGGCGCCAAATGTGCTCGCACACGTCCGCGGAGTCCCACTCGCCACGGTCGGCGAGCATCCGGTTGTAGTGCTGGAATTGCTTGTAGATCTGCGCCCGGTCCTCCTCGCTCAAGGACTGTTCGGACTCCTTCGGCGGTTTCTTCAAATAGTCCTCCTCCGTGATACTGCAGGTCGCCCGCTTCTTGATCTCCTTCAGCGAGGGTAACAGAAGTTCCCGCTGCGATTTCAGCGCCGCCTGCCCCTTCAGCATCATGATCTCCGTGAACAGTGTGTAGGCTTCCCCCGGGCGGCCCTCCCCGCGCCCCCCGGACAGTTTCGGAAAGTAGTGCTCCCAAAAGTAGGGGAAGGTGACTTCATTCGCGAGCGCCTTGTCAGCCTCGAAGAATTGGCAGCCATCGTCCATAGCCGTGTCAATCATCGCCAGGTAGTGCGCGTAGGTTCCGACGAAAATCTGCGGACCATCGGGGATCTGGAACAGCTTGGAACTGGCACTCGCATTTTTGTCATTCACGTTCACTGTGGTGAGGGTGGCACAGCCACTGGCAATGTTTGCCGCTGCGGCCGAGTTTGCGTTTGTAATATGCGATGTATTTGTGCCGTGTGAAGAACCGGTGGCGTTCGTAGTTCCGTTTTGATGTTGTCCACCTCCTGTAGATGCTGCTCCTGCGTGTTGTTCCAAAGGACCACTGCACTTGCCGTCCAGAGATGCTAAACTTCCACCTGCGCTCTTTTCCAACCACGATGGGTGTCCGATGTCCTCCATGCCAAGGTCGTCGCCGTCCTTCCGTTGCGGGAAGATGACCTTCATGTGCTCCCGCACGTGCTGCTGAATGACGACCGCGAGCTTCGGGGATTGCGTGCAAACAAACACGAACGGCGCCGCCGGGAGTTCCACCATGGAGCCGCCCTGTTTGCGCAACTCCTGCAATCTTTCTTCTTCCGCGAGAAATTCCAGGATGTAATTGACGGCACGGTGTTCCAGTACGGTCGTTTTCCCTGTCCCGCTCCGGCCCTGGATGAAGACCGGCCCCCCCTTCTCGTCCCGCGCCTTGACCTGCCGATCGTCCCAACTCGGCAATGCTCCCTGCAAGATCGCCCGGATCTCCGTCGCGGAGCCGTGTTTCTCGCCCTGCTTCAGCTCCTCGGCCAGCCGCGCGTTCTCCGCCGCGCGGCGCTTGTTCTCGCGATCTTCCTTGGACCGGGCAGCGGCCTCCTGGGAGTGCTTCTCTCCCTGTTCCTTCATTTTCTTCAAGTGCTGCGACTCCTCCCTTCTGCTCGCCAACCGGTTCTTCATCCGCTCCAACGCGGTGGTGCCCTTCGGCTTGCCGCTGATCGAGGTGGCGCCCGTGGAGGTGGTTACGGGATTGGATGAACTGTCTTTATTTCCTTTCGTTGCACTTGTAGTTGCACCAGAATTCTTCGACGCTGCATCAGTCCCGCCCTCCCGCGCCAGCGGCGAGGAGCCTTGCTCCTCCAAAATCGCGGCCTGGCTAGCGAGTTTGGATTTCAACAGCAACTGTTTCGCCTTATCTTTGATAACTACCGGAGGTGCTGGGTTAGGCGTCTTCACTGGAGGAATACTACTGCTGTCTTGCTGGTAGTTCGCTTTTTGGTCATCAAGAACCTGATTTTTTTCACCAACGATCTCGAGCTTCGGCAGTCCTAAACTAGGACCTGTACATCCCGCAGTGATCGCGGAACTTGTGTTGGAAGGTGTGAAAAGAACGCCAGCATTTTTATCGTCCGTCTGCAGTTCGGAAGCAGCTGCTGTCGCGCAACTACTCCCTGCAGTAGACGAACCTCCGCCGCCGATCTGTGCCTGCACCACCTTCGAGGCTTTCAAGCGTTCCATCATCCGCGCTTTGGCACTCCCCGCGGCCGCGGTGCGGTTCAGCCCAAGACTGGTTTTCGCGGCTTTTTCTTTCACCACGGGAACCCCCGCAGATGAACTTTGCTCCAATAACTCCGCGGGTTTAATATGGTGCTTCGTCTCAAACAGCGTCTCCGGTTGTTCAGGATTTGCATTTATTTTTGTCGTACTTGCGCTAGGGGTTGTAATGTTTTCACCAGCAGGTTGCCTTTGCGCTTTCAATTCTTGATTTCCATCTCCTTCTACTTCTTCTTTCGCTACCTTGCTGTTATTGCACTCCTCGAGACCTTGTTTCATCTGCTCCAGAACTCCTACCGGCTGGCCCGCCGTGCAAACCACGGCACTTAACCCGGGAACTTTTTCCGGAGTCGCGATCGGTTGTTCAACATCTTCCGGAATGTCACCCCGTTGTTCAGAAACTGGAACTGCAGCTTTTGCTTTTGCACCATCGACGTCAAAATCTTTATCAACCACGGACGCCGGGCTCGTTTTCATCGTTTCCGCCTTCTCATTCAGAGCATGAGCAACATGTGCATCCTGATATTCTTCTCCTTCCGGCCGATCGACGTTATCATGACCAGAAACACTACATTCGGGCGATGTTGAAGAAATAGCGACCGCTTCTTTCGGTTTCGAAGCGTAGTCATCTTCTTGGTCTGAACTACCCGAAGCCACGTCATCGTCTTTCTCCGACTGCTCCTCCGCCACGGAATAATCATTGTCCGAAGAGGACTCGGGCTCAGAGACCGACTTCGAAGAGGACGCGGGTGAAGCAGGAGAGTCTGCCTTATCACTCACATTGCCAGTTGTACACACGACGGGGTGATGTTGCGAGACCACTTCCGCTTGCTTTTCAACAGGAGGAATAGGAATTTCAACATTTTCCTCATGATCAGTCTCGTTCTCGTTGTGGTCAGCCCCGGACAAATAAATCCCACGAGTGTCCTCCTCCTTGTCTGTGGTCGCGCCGTCGCGGCCAACGCTGCTGCTGCCGCCTACCTCTTGGTCCGAGACTAGCTCCGCGTCCTCGTCCTTGATGTCGCTCTCCTGGATATTTCTGTCATCTGCGGGGTCAACATCAATCTGTGTGGGGTCACAATCACTGTCCTCTTCATCAGAACGGATGCTTTTCTCTTCATTGTCATCCTCGTCCACAGCCGAGGATTTGTCTTGATCAGAGGTGTGGTCGTGCAGTCGTTGCTTTTGTTCTTCTTCCTGCTGTGCGCCTGCGCCGCTTAGATGAAGAAGAGCGCCGTCGTCGTCTACAACATCAGAGGTATTTTCGCCGCCGACATCATGATGTTCCTCTTGGTCTTGGTCTTGAAGATCGATTTTGCTTAGATGCCGTGCGTCGGTTCCTTCACCTTGCGGACCAAGTTGGACATTTCCATGCCGCGCTACCTCTACCTCGTCCGTGTCTGGGGAAGTTCCCGGTTCCGCCTGTCGACTGTGGATGGGGTCCTCGGAAAACGTGCTGCCCACGTCGCTGTCACTATCCGTTTTATTTTCCTTGTTTTCGATCTCACTCGTAGTTTGTTCCCCGACCGCGCCGGTGGTCGTCCGCTGCGGCGGGGAGAAAGCAGGGTAGACCGTGTCCGTTTCCGCCTGGTCGATGTTGGTGATCTTTTCTTGTTGATCAACAGACCCATTTTGGAGTTTTTCCTCGGCAATGTCGTCAGCAGTGTCTTTGACCTGGGATTGCGGATGGGTAGATAGAATGTCTACGACCGTTGTAACGGGACCGCGACCAGTACCTGCAGCACTCTGTAGTTGCTCTTGTTCATCACGGCCGCCGGCACATTTTTCAATATCCGATGACTTTTCATTTTCAACAGTGCTGTCGACGCGCACTTGATTGTGCTCGGCAGTTTGTTCCACGCTTTGGCCCGGCGCAACCTGGTCTGTTCGTTTATTCTTGTTCTCGACTTGTTCATGGTGCAGCAGGTCCTTTTGCAGCAACAGGACCGTATCCAACTTGCCCTCTAACCGCGCGATCTCGGAAGTGAAGCAACCCTTCAGACCTTGCACCTCCGCCTGCAACAAGTCACCGAAGCGGTGGATCAGACGCCTTTCGACCTGGTCGTCCATGATTGTTCTCCTACTGTTTGTACGCAGGAAGGATGGTGTTAGGTTTCGAATTAGCTGGTACCGATGATCAGTGATTCCGACTTCTGCGCAAACGCAAAACGCAACCTCTTGGCTTCCTCGCCCTCACGGGAGTGAGAGGTACAGATGTGCCGGGCGGTGGATCGAAAAATCAAGAAAACGCGATACCGAGTGGAGCCGTCAGCTTTGGGCAAAGAACTGCGAAGTAGCAGTGCCTGGGATGAAAACCAGCAAGCTTGTAAGTGGAGCTAAAGCTAGAGTCTAGCAAAGGGAGCAAGCAGCTGCCATTTCTAAAAATTTGCTATTGCTACGATCTGGATGTGGTATGCCGTCAGCAACACAAACTGGAAAGACTGAGACGCGATACTGGTCACAAACCTGTGCTCGCTGTGCAAGAGCGTGCAATAAATTACGAATCACGACACAACCGAACCTTCGCAAACAGGATCTGTTAAATGAAGCAGCGCCCTCGCCTTCAACCCAGCACGGCAGCCCGCGGACTGCAACTGCTTGGCGCCCGGCAAAAGCCCGCCGCTGAGCGGAGGAACCGCTCCTGTTCCCTTAGGCGCGCCGCCGGTTAGTACCGCCACACTACCCAAGGCCATGGCTTGGGGGCCGCGGGCACATCGGGCACCCGCGCCAGCGTCGGGCTAACCTTGCGAGGAGCAGCCCGAAGACAAGAAGCGACCTGCCGCGAGATCACAACGCTTAACCTGATGATCACTTACATCTTTATTTTGATTTTGACCACGATGTCGTCCGAATGAGCGCGAACACCTTCTCCTTGAGTAGTCAAATAAAACCCTGCGGTCCAAGATACAGGTATAATTCCAAACTGAGAAATTGTGTCGCTTTCAACATTTTCAAATATCAACACTTCTTGTCGCGTAGTTGGTACAGTTTCCCTATCAGGCAGTTCACCTTCAAGAACATCAACAACCAGAGTCGCTTCAACACAAAGGGCATGGACTACTTTGCTACTTCTTCGCCAGCCACCATCTCATCTTTCATTCTTCCACTCACTGCATCGCTCCTCCCGGTGGAGCTCCACCGAGCGGCATTTGGTTTGGCGATCCCATTGGAGGTTGATATTGCCCGTATGGACCTCCGCCCTTGTCGCCTCCGCCGTAGCCGTAGTTCTGCCCGCCCTTTTTCCCGTGGTGCCCCTTGTTCAACTCCCTTCTTCCCGGCATCTTGAATTTCACTTCCATAGCGCCCTCTGCGCCGGGCAGCGCGCGGCCGTTGCACTGCGCGATGGACTCCCGCGCCATTTGCACGGTGACGAAGTTCACAATCCCCGCTGGCCTCTGGTTTTCGCCCTGCGGTGGTATTACGTGCGAATTCGTTACCATGCCGAACTGCTGGAAGTAGGCACGCAGGTCGTCCTTGCTCCACTGCGGCGGGAAACCAATCACGTAGATGGACTCGCACTCGTTCGACCCGGGCCTCCGGTCGTCCTTCCCGCCGTCCTTCCCGCCATCCGGGACGCCGTTCATGCCCAATGGGGCGACACCACCCATACCCTTGCCGCCGCCCCTGTTTTAATGTGGTGGTAAGTGTGAAGATCTTTGTAGAAGCTAATCGTCGTGTGTGGTACTACGTAAGTACCTGCTGTGTGAACAACATGATCCAGAACGATATCTAAGACTGAGTTAGTACCTACCAGTACAACTGCAAATCAAAACAAATCCCCAATACTAGTGGGGTAGTCTAATACCACTGGTCGTCTCCTCCGTGGTAGCCTCCTCCTTTATCGTACCCCCCGCCGTAGGGCCCGGAATCGTACCCCTTCTTCCCGTAGCCTTTCCCGGCGCCGTACCCGCCTCCGTACCCTCCGTAGCCGCCGCCTTTCCCGGCTTTGCCTTGGCCGAGGTACCCGCTGGGTCCCGCGACCGACCCCAAGGTGGTCCGCTGTCGGTTCTCAAAGCGCATGCGGATCTGCGACCGAACGTATTCCCGAAACGACCGTTCGTTCAGGTCGTAATTGAAAAAATCCGCGAGGCGGTCGGCGCGCCAGGGCTTCTCGTCGTGGAGATCTATCTCCAGCAAGACGGACTCCAGACACCGCTTGGCTTCGTCGCTGTCGAGGTCTGAGGTGTGGTGGATTTTTGCGGCTCGTTTTATTGGTATTGCGAAGCCCCACACAGTGATAGTACAGCACTTACTCCCTTTCGTTTCGTATCACGACGTATACGACAGTAGATACCAAACAGACAAACATAAATCATGGCCTGTCAAGTTTGAATCATCCCAAATTGAAATCACAAGGAGCACAACAGAAATCAGTAAGTACTTGTCAACGTCCCGCTGTTTATGTCGTCCAGCTGCTGCGTTTCAGTTTGGTGATAGGCCCTCTGCAGGTAAAACTGCAGTGAACCGGGCCAGGGGCCGGAGCCATCGCTCCCCGCGTCGGTGTGCTCACAGAGCTTGAAGTTGACGTCAATCGTCCTCTCGTCGTTCATACTCATGGTGGGCTGAGGAATTCTGCGGATCGGGGCGAGGGGAGGTCGCTTTTGGGGGATGACGCAGCACAAAGGGTCAAGCAGTTGTGGTAGTTAATCAGAAAAAATCTGTACGTCGGCGGTAAACATTACATGATGTCCGGGGTACGGAGCAGAACTTTTCGCCTTCTTGTCTTCTACGACCGAAGGCTAGTAAGTACTCTTTTACTCCATCAGAAAATCTTCGGAATCAATGAAGTTGCTGGTTGTGTCGCTGTGAAAAAAGTCGTGAAAAATTTTCCATGAAAAACAATTCTAGTTCTTTTCGTGGGGATCTAATCGAAAAAAGAAGTTACTTTTTTTTCACAGCAGGGGATCGCGCTTTGAGCAGATCGGAAAAACTGAATCACGTACGGATCGGCCTTGTTTCTTTCAAGTTGCAAAATCTTCAAAACATGCATCCAAAGATCCCTTTCGCTTCGCACTGCAGATACTAAATACCATCTCATCAGAGGAGCCGTAGTAGAATGGAGTGCTTTCGCTTTGCGAACACCAAGGCAAAATGAATTCTCGTCGCGCCGTCAAATTTGATAGGCGCTTTGTTTGATTGAACAAATACAGAATTAGCTGATAAAATATGTATGCACCATACAAACCCCCTGTCCCTCACAACAGCGTCAATTTTGGTTTGTCCAACCCCATTCTCTGCTGCTTTAATTTCTCTTGTAAGACCGGGTCGGCTTCCTCTGCTTGTCGTTGCTGGTAGAATTCCAGTAAACTCCGCCGCATATGCCGGTCGTCGTCCTTCTGCTTTTTGTCAAAAATCTGCCCGATCGCGAAGCTGATAAACGCTAGCACGTGGAGCATCACCGTCGAGTTGGCGATCGGCGAGACGGAGGAGGAAAAAGCGCTGTTGTTCCGGACCCGCTGGATGATTTCGCAGTGCTGTTTCAGCAGCTGCGTGCGCCCGTACACGGACTTCTTGTAGAAGTCAAGCTCAGAAAGAAACCTGGAGAGATGAAGTAGACGGCATTGCTTGGCATACTGGATCTGCATGCCGAAACATAGCAAGACCAAGAATCTAAACGTAAAATAATGACAGCCCAAATAATCGTTATCGTTTTACAAAAAACAAGTACTTCCGCCTCAGATGCATCAGCAGCACTTCCGGCTCGACGGAGATGAGCAATTGCTCCACCGCGAAAACAATCCCTTCAAAGGCAATATCCACCTTCCCGAGCGTCTCATTGCTGTTGAAGTCGTCTTCTTGGATTTTCTTCACAATCCTCTGCTCCACCACTCGGACCCACTCGGGTACCACGGGCTGGATCAGTTTCGCCTCCGAAGATTTCTTCGCAAAGGAGGCCTGCAGCATCCACAGTGCCTGCTTCAAGTCGCCTTTCACGTGACTAGTAATGTGCTGGTAAAGCTCGTCGAGAATCGTCGGGTTGTAATTTAGGTCAACCAGGTTCGCGAGCCGCTCGCCTGGAGTGGTCGGATAACTAGATAGCGACGGTGGATTTACATACAGATGAAAATGCACATACCGCTACTAAACCCTCCCGTTGTGGCAAAATTATCGTGTTCTTGGCGTCGGAATCTATCATTGCAGCAAAAAATAAAAATCGTACGAAATCGATGACAAAAAATACTCAAAAATAAATACGTTCCACCACCCTGGCCAGTATTCTGCAGATTGTTTGGTCGTCCGGGCTGCATATCCTGACGCGCGTGCACCTGCCCTGAATCGGGTCAATTAGCTGTTGTGCGTCCTGGCAGACCAGAAAAACCTTCCGGTATTTCGAAACGATTTCCATCGTCCGGCGCAGCGCGGACTGCGCCTCCATGGAGAGCAAGCTTGCGTTGTAGATGACAAACACCCGGATGAGGGGTGGCGGGGTTTTGTTTTTGCCGCGCGTGTTCGTCGGCTCGTGGCGGTCGATAGTACTTCCCGCGGGTATATCTTTTCCTGCGTTTTTTATGTCTGCTACATTTGATGCGTCACCCCCTACCTGCTGTGGCTGAAAAAACCCGCCTTGCCCGAGCAGCGGTTTTTTCTTGTTCATGAAGTTATTTGCACCGCCTCCGTTGTTGTCTTTTGTCTTGCTCCCGCCCTTCGCAGTCGCCTCGGCCGCCTCCACACCCTGGAGCAATAGGGAGCACAAAACTTTCGAGTCTTTCGACCCGGATAAAGACACGTCCAGTTCTGTGTGCACCGGCGACTCGATGTATTTGACGTCCACGTTGTTCACCTTCGCGTGCACCACTTTGGATTCGTTGATCGCAATTTTCCCGAACATCCTCCTCAACAAGCACAATATCCTGGTCTTCTTCCCGGACCCGGCCGGGCCGACGAACAACATGTGCGGGAAGTTGCTGTCATCGAGGACTTTCTCCGTGTAGGTGACCTGTTCGATGCCGTAGTCTAGCTCTTCAATCGTTTCTGGTTGGTACTTGTCCCCGTAAAACCCGAAACGGTTCTTCAACAGCGCCCACTTTTTCTCCACCACCTCGTGCTTCGGAATTTCGAACAGCTTCTGCTCGGCGAGCTCGTGCAACAAATCCGTTTCCGTTGGGTTATGCGGATCATGATCTGGGTCGTTTGCTACGATTTCCATATCGACGTCGTTCTCATTGCTGCGATCCGGCTGTGCCGTGGGAGGTCGCTGTTGGGCGGAATTCACAAGTTTTGCAGCCGCGGGCGCACGGCCTTCGTTGCCATCCATTTTGATTTCTGAGAACGTGCCACTCGCAATCTAGATCTTTTTACAACTTCCAGCTCTCACACAAACAGTAGGACACACGTTTCACTTTTTTGCGTTCCTTTTATCAAAGCAAGAGGTGGATCGCTTTTTCCTGAACATAATGTTTTTGCAGCGGCAGCCTTACTCTGTCACAAGTGTTGATCGAGCGATGTGTACTTGGAGGAACGCGTAAAATGTCATCGCAGCGAAGATCTTCTTGCATCTTCCTGCTGGTGTGAAGATCAAGAGACGTGATCCCAGGCAGAGGAAAGACAGACGCGAACGCGAAACAACTTCGCACAGATGAAGCAGGCAAGCAACGCTACTTGGAGCAGGTTTGTCCTCGTACTTGTCACATTCCTTGTTCGCAAAGAATTAACATTTTTTGAAATAATTATTATCTGCCATCGGCCCAGTGCCTCCAACTCAATCTTATCAACAAAACAGCCTACCCAACAGCACCAGCATCATCGAGTAAACATTGAGCAAGAGCAAATCGTATAAAGTAAATGCCAACTTCGTCTGTGGAGACGAATCCAACCGTGGCAGTCTTGTCGATTTATCGATCATACAAAGTAAAGTTCTGAAACGTTGAGTTCTGCAGTAAAAACGTCGAAACCGACTCCTGTAGGCGTAGAAGATCTCTGTGCAACCAAAGCAAACAGTTTTCATTCATTACAAGTTGTTGTTCTTCAAACCAAAATTGTAGATTAAAGTAGTACGACTACGAGAAGAAACAAACACAAAACGAAAACAGATCAGAAACAGAAAAAACGCTACCCTTCAAGATGTTTTACTTCTGTGCCAAAAAGTTTCCGTGTTCATCAACCCCTCCTCCTTCTACAGGCAGCCCAAGGCCACCCCCAAGAGCACGACGGACAGTAGACCGAACAACACCGTGGCGGCCACGTCGAAACAGAAACTCTTCTGCGAAACGAAGTGTCCAATCTCGTTCCTCACCGCAAGCTTCCACTGCTCGTCGACCATAAGCGCCGCCTTCTCAATATCCTGAGTAGAAACGTCCCCACCCAATATTTTTGCTGTTTCAATCATTTTTTTTCTAATACATAGTCTCAGTCTCAAATTCATGCCAATCTGCATGCCTTGTATCTCTCTCGTATCGCTCCGCCTGGGTGGCATTTTGTTTTTATCCGATTGAAAAGTCCACCACGCGCTACTCAGCTTGAGAAAGTGGATTTATGATGTTGGGGCGTTTTTACTCAGGATATTCAATCGGCAAATCCGCCCGTTTTTTCTCTTTCCGGATCTGCAGCAATTGCTTCCACACGGTGAAGCCGGCGGTGACGAGAAAATTCTCCGAATCCAGCACCAGCCCGTTGATGACATTCGTTCTGGCAACAGCAAAAGTTTCGCAGTGCAAAACTCGCTTTCGGAGATACTGCGAGTGCTGTGAAGGCCCTAAAATATCCACCTTTTCGCCCATCTTTTCAAATCTTGGCCAGTTGATTGCGCGGCGCCCTCGCCGATTATCGCGTAGCGCCTCTTCGATGGCGGCTGCGCGTCCGCCTTTGCAAACGCGCCACGCCGGGCTGTTCTATTTCTGCCCCGAGGCCCGGGGCAGAAACGCAAGCCAAAGACCCCAGAGAGAAAAGCCACCCAAACGAGCCTCCCAATCATATGAGGCCATGGACCCTGAGCGCGCCTCTGCTTGCGCAGGTAAGGCAAGGCGCCCGGCAATAGCGACAAACGCGGAAAATGCCCCCGGCGAATTTACCCTCCACAAGGCGCAGCCAAGCGAAAGGCTGCGCCCCCCCTCTTATCAGCCCCGGCCTGGCTTGGGCCTGATTCGGAAACAGCGCCCACCGCATCTGATCCGGGAGACCTGAAGAGCGAGCAACCCCTGACGAGGTGGCCCGTGCTTCATGGCGCAACATTTTCAGATGTGGACACGGCTGAAACGGGGAAATATACCTCGGGGCGCATCTTTTCAAATCTGAAAACCAACAGGCGAAAAAGCTGCTGTGCTCTCCTGTGGTTCTTGAGATTTGAAAAGATGCCCTCTCAGCATCTTTTCAAATCTGAAGCGCATGGCCTTTGGCCTGCAAAATTTGAAAAGATGCTGAAGGAGCATCTTTTCCATAACGAAGCCACAAGAGACCCGAGCAATTTACTCTTCTGTGGTTTCCAGGATTTGAAAAGATGCTGAAGGAACATCTTTTCGAATTTCAAAAGGCGCAAAAGAGGAGGGTCGCCTGCTCCGTTTTCTGTCCGCAGAAGAGCCGCAGAAGAGCCGATCCGTTTTCTGTCCTGAGGTTGCCAAGATTCGAAAAGATGCTGAAGGAGCATCTTTTCAAATTTTACATGCCGCAGACGAGGAGGGCAGCTGGCTGTTCTGTGGTTTTCAGGATTTGAAAAGATGCCGAAGGAGCATCTTTTCAAATTTGAGAAACCACGCAAACGGAGGCCAGCTCAATCTTCTGTGGCTTCCAAAATTTGAAAGGATGCTACCAGCGCATCTTTTCAAATTTCGACAGCCGCGGAAAGGGTGATCAACCTACTCTTCTGCGTGGCTTTCAAAATTCGCAAACTTGCTGAGGGGGCATCTTCGCAATCTTCGGAGCCACAAAAGAGGCAAGCAAACAGGTGTCGCCAGAGGCACGGCTTTGCTTACCATCTGGCGGCCCGCCAACTGGAGCGCAAGTCAAAGCCTTCGACTTTCGTCCGCAATTCTCTGTCTGGGCGCACCAAAGAGGTTCCCAAATAGGTTCATCAAAATCCACCATACCATGCGGAGTAGCTTAAGTTAATAGCCTCTTGGGAGACCTCACCAAAGAGGTTGCCAAAAAGGTTGTCAAATTTTGAAAAGATGCTGAAGGAGACATCTTTTCAAAATTTGACAACATCAACAAAGCAAGTGCTTGCGTTGTTGAGGTTGTCAAATTTTGAAAAGATGTTTCCTTCAGCATCTTTTCAAAATTTAGAGACTGAGCAGCCACTTATCAAAATTTGAAAAGATGCAGAAAGAGCATCTTTTCAAAATTTGATACTTGCGCTGTTCGGGTTGTCAAATTTTGAAAAGATGTTTCCTTCAGCATCTTTTCAAAATTTGGAGAGTGAGCAGCCACCTATCAAAATTTGAAAACTCGTTTCCGGAGATACTGCGAGTGCTGGGCTGCAGAAGTGGTCTCGTCGCTGGAAGCGTCGTGCGTGGCAGGAGCTGGTCCCATCTGTTGATGAATAACGCGTTTGCAGAAAATTCTTGTGGCGAATACGAATTTGTGTATTTCTATTGATGTATCTACTTCTCATGCAGGTGATCGTCACACGACCTCGTGGTCCTCAGAGAAGCTGAAGCATTGCGTCTTTGCATAACGAGAACGAAAATCCGCTTTCCATTTTATAGAAGAAAAAACGCAAATAAAACTCAAAAATACGTTTCCGCCGTCCGTGAGCAAGAACTGCAGTTGCGCCTTTTCTTCCCGCCACTTTTGCTCGTTCTTTTGCAGTTGCAGCCGCATCTTCTTCAGTTCCGCTTCCGCACTGGCCTTCGCGTTGGTTTCCGCGAAAGCGACTTCTCTTTCCAGCTGCTTTTTCCCTTTCACCCTTTCCTTCTCCAATTCTCTGACCCGCACCTCCGCTTGCTCGAGCTTCGTCGCAAGCTCCTCAATCCGGACCGACTGCCGCGACGCCTTCTCCTTCTCAAACTCGGATTGGTAATTCTTTGATCCGTGACTCGTTTTAATATTCCGGAACGTCGCCGCACTGTTCGCCATTCTGTGCGAGGAGGGCGATGCGGTTCTCGGTGTGAAAGAAAAAGCTCCGCCCGCCACCGGGGAAGAGGACGAGGACCCATGCCCTCCTGCGTCGGAAGCGTTGTCTTTGAGATTATTTTCATGCAATTTCTCCAGAATGTTTTGCAGAATCTGCAACACAATCTTCGTCCCGATGTTGCGGACCTCTTCGGAAACTGTGGCTAGGTCCGCTAAGACTTTGTCCAAATTCGCCTGAAGCTCCGCAAGGGACAAAGTCTCGTTCTCCAAAAGACAGACGGCCGGGTGGCCGACCAGGAGAGCCACGTCCGGATCGCGGGTCGACATCTTTATTCTTTCCTTGCGACGTTCTTCGCTCGTTCGCAGACGCAAAGACTTCTCGAAGACACAAAGGACTTTCTCAAAAGAAAAACAGCTGCAAAGGCTGAAGTGCTTTGTTGTGACGCTTTTTTTTACGAGTGTTTCATCTCAAAATGCCCGTCGACACAGCAAATTTGGACGAAGACTCGCGCACTCTTGAACTGGTCGCTCACGAAATCTGAATCAATAGATTTAGATTTTGAATTTTCAAACCTCTCGTCTCAATCGCGACGCTCGTCAGAGCCGGCGTTTGCATTTTAAAGCGACATCCCTCGCACAGCAGCTCGAGCCGCTTTGCATTCCAAAACGATCAACGTACGTTTGCAGCACTGAGTCCCTCTACTGCTTTTGCGAACATCCAAAGCACTCAATAGACATAGGCTGCAGAAACTAACATATCGAGTTGTGGCTTTCTTCGGATCGATTCATCAATGCCACGAGAAATCATAGAACTCAAACATCTTCCAATCTCGTTTATTTATAATCCCATTCAAACTTTTATATCTAAAGAGGAACAGGATCAACAGCCGACATCTTCAAGGAGGTCAGAAGCAACGGTCTACAACTTTTCATGTTGATAAAAGTTTATCTATCATGCCGCCGGGTCAAACACCACCCGCGACCCTCTGACCGTGTCCCGCTCCGACGCGTTGTTCTGTCTAGCCACACGCTCCATTCTCGCTCGCAACATTGCTTCCCGCGGACCGATCGAGTTTCTGCCACTAGTAGCACTACTACTTCCACCCCCGCTGCCTGGAAATGAAGGCCGCGACGACTGCATCGCGGCGCCGGACGTCGGGTCGGCCCCGCCTAGGTTGATCCCGCCACCGGCCATATTTCCCGTGCGTCTCCTCTCCAGCGCATTCAGGCTCGCCCGCGCGACGTCGCGGTTCCGGTAGTTCAATGTCTGCCGAGCCAACGCCCCATGCAGCGCGTCGATAGTACTACTACTCTGGCTCTGTTGCGCGCGGACAGACACAGAAGGCGTGCCTGTCCTAGAAGACCTTAGCCCAACAACTCCGGTAGTTGTAGAGCGGAAGCTGCTCGTACTTCCGCTTAGTGGGACGGCAGCGCTGAAGGATGCGTTCCCGGACGTCGTGCGGTTCAAGAGGAGTTGTGCTTCCTCCTGCTCCTCGCCCTCAAAACTCGGCGACTCATGATCCATCATCGGCCGCACCCGATACCCGGAGGAGTACGGCGAGGCTTGTGGGCTGCCGCTGCCCCGGTGAGGGAAATTGCTGCGCGTCCCGCTGGGTCGCCTGGCCGGGTTGTAAGGAATAGATGAAGTAGTAGGGTTCATCGACGTGAAAGAACCTGTATTATTTATGCCCGCCCTGCTACCGGACTCGTTCCCAGGTCTACTGCCATTGAGCCCGAGGCCTAAACCAAACAGAATGTTTTCTTCCAGACTGGTCGGATGCCCAGGAACAGCACTACTGCTCAAAGCACCGTCCAAACCAACCTCCAAGGTTCTCGGACTGTTCATCCGTTCCACAACCCGGTCCACCAGTTGTTGTCGTTCCCGTTCCCTTTCCAGCGCGAAGATCCGGGTTTCAATCTGTCTAATGTCGTACCCCGCCTCCGCAGCGACAAACTCCGGGCTGGATACCAGCCTACTCGTTCGCGCCCTGGAAAAACCACGCGCGGGCGAGAGAGCCGCCCCCGGTGAGCTGGGCGCGCTCGGAACTAGCCGGCTTGAGGTTCTCCCCGCGGAAGAGCGCCGCGGACTGTGCTGCCCACCAGGCGGCCGAGAGTGATGTGTGGACGAGGACCGCATGTTGTCCACAGGATCATCCGGGCCGTCAGCACGCTCCTGGCTCAAAAATCCTATCTGTTCATGATCCTCTATTTCGCCTATCAGGGAAGCAGACGACGAGCCTGTCATCGCGTCGAAATAGGCAGTTGCACCGCCGGGTTGATGGCCGTATTGTTGTCCACCTCCTGCTGTTGTTCCCAGTGAGCGAAAGGACGCGTTGGAAGTAGATGACAGGGTGGTTGTTCCAGCACCGTGTTGTACTGGCGCTCCACCACCACCTCCGGAAGACGACCCTGTTGGTCCGATCCCACTGTAGTTCGAAAACCCGCCCGAGCTCCGCCTGGCGGTCGCCCTCGCAATGCGGTCGGCGGCAACGCTGTTCGGCGGGATGGTCGGATCCCCGGGAAAATGGTCCCGCATCGAGCGAAACAGCGGATCCGTGAAAAAGTTTTCACTCCCGCGGATGCTACGCGGCAACGCGCGGCGCGGCTGCGGCGACCCCGGTTCGTTCATGGTGGACATCGGGCTTAAAGCGGTCGTCCCTCGATTCATGGGCGTCGCAGTCGGCATAAAGTTCTGCTCCGCCGGAAACAACTGCCTCGACGTCGGTGCTGGTGGTGGACCAGCATTATTCAGTGCTGCGGCCAAGTCCCCCGTCGGCGGCAGCTGGGGCACCGCACCCTGCATCAACAGCCCCAGTGTCTCGTCGTTCGGCTGGCTCGCGCGCCGGTTGAAACGCACGCTCCGCGGCCGTATGGGAGGAGCTGCAGCAGGGTGATTAGCTGCTCCAGTCGTTGTCCTGGTCTGTCTCGTGCTAGTTGTGTTTGTTCCGCTACCCGAATCCCGACTGCGGACGGTCGTGAACATGGCATGATCATTGCCTGCTGCACCTCCGGTCTGCGTCCGCGAGAGCAGTGGTGAGGAGAAGACCTGTTGCGACGTGGAGGACTGTAGCTCGTGGTCGAATTCGTGGTCCGAGAGAAAATCTCCCAGGTGCATCGTCGGATGGTCACGCGTGGTCTGAAACAACGCGTCATCGCGGAGGATGCTGGAATGCTGACCCCGAGGAGCAACACCAACAGTAGTGCTTCTGTGATCTCCAGCAAGCAAACCACTACTCGTCGCCGACGCGCCTCGTTGCAGCTGCTGTTGCAGATGGGACTCCACTCGTTCCAGAACGGACAACGCACTGCCCCCGTTCAACAGCCCCGCTTGCTGGTGTTCTATCGGACTGGTGAGCGCGCCGACCGGGTCGTTGCTCATCTGTAGTTGTTCCTGTTGGTTCGCAAACGCCTGCTGGTCGAAATTCGAAAACGCCTCTAACACCTCCGGATTCCGCTGCTCAATCTGCTCCGCTAACAGATTCACGGTCCGCAGCGCCCCGGGCCCGCCCGACGCGATCTCCGAGGGGTCTATGTTGATGAACTCGCACGCTTTCAACAACGCGTTGCTGAAGAAGTGGTCCCGGACGCCTTTGAAGGGGCGCGTCTTCGGGTTCATGTTCTGCCGTTCTAGTCTGTTCAATTGGTCTTCGTTTGGGTCTTGCTCAAGAAACCCGTTGTCATTCACCGCACCTAAGTTGTTCAATCTGTCCAAATCCGTGTTCAAAACCCCGTCACCCAACACCATCCGGTCCGACTCCGGGAGTTCCTTCACGAGGATCTTTGGGTACGCGTTGATGTTGTTTTGGATCAGGCACTCCCGAAAACAGTTCGAAACCGCGAGCAGCAAGGACACGTCCACCGCGCCAGGCGGCACTTTGATCTCCCAGACCTGCAAGAATTCCAACTGCGTCGGAATTGCCGGCGGGATCATCTGCTCCACGCCGTCGCCCAGCTCCCCGAGGATCTCCCCGGAGGAGGCCTTCCGGATCGCCCAGCGCTGCGACCCGAGGTGCTGCGTCCAGGGGTCGAAGGTGAGCATGACCGAGTCGGATTTGGTATCAATCACCTCGTACACGTAGGGGTGTCGCGCGATCATGTCGGGGATAAAACGAGGCTTCACCTCCAGCATCGGCGTCTTCGCGAAACTCTTCGCGTTGTACACGAAACCTTTAGCGAGCTCGAGGCGACCCTGTTTTTGTTTTTGTGGTTGGGTATTTTTGCAACTTGCAGTTCTTATGAATTTCCGATGTTGCGACAACCGCATCCATTCTGGACACGTCGACCAATCTGTCATGCATAGGAGAAGACAATTTGAGAAATCAACGGAACCATCCTATCCACTAGTACTCTTTATACAAAGACACCATAAAGTACTTTCTGCACGAATTCCCGCTTCAGCTCCCAACAAAACAGCACCGTATCCGCGACCGAATTTTCCACCGGCGTCCCTGCTTGGTGCGCTAGTAATGCGGAACAGCCGTAGAATTTTTCAATCGGAAACTGCTCCAACAGTTTCAACACCGCAGATCCAAAATCCAACTTTGCGGTCACGAAAGGCGTATCCGCCCCCGTCTTTGGCACGGAGGATAACGCCCAGCGCTTCGCCAAGTGCGTCTTTTGCTGCATCATCGAGGCGGAGTAAAACCCCTCCTCGTAAATCCGGTTGCCCGGCGGCCGGAGCATGGAATGGTACAACGGCGAAACCTCCGCGGTGACGGGCACCTGTAGCAGGCTAGACACATGGTCCACGGTGCGGAACACGTAGTGCGAGTCGGTGTTCGAAAAATTCAAGAACCGCCGGTAGACTACCGGCACCGGAGCGTGCTGCGGTTCTTCGAGGAGGGAATTGGACTTCATCAAGCTGCCAGAAGTATTTCTGGTGGGCGAACGGTTGTTGCGGTTGTTCAGATTTGACGAGTTCTGGTCGTTTTCCATATTGTTTTCGCTGAACATGTTTTCTTCCGCCGTTTGCTGCGAGATCGGCGGGGAACGGGACAGGAGCACCAGGTCGTCGTGGTCCTCGTTTTGGTTCGTCAAATCCGAATTGTAACTCGCGTCCTCCACAATAAACTGCTGACGCGTTTCCCGCGTCGTGCGGTCAAAGGAATCCCGATCCACCATGGTACAGATACGCGGCGAAGGAAGATGGGAGAGTTGTGCTTGAGACGTGGAAGATTTTTCCCTGTGCCGATGGATTGTGACTACGCGCACGACATCTTACTTTGCAACGGCTCCGTCTATGGAGATGAACAACCAGTGGTGGTTCGGGAACAACTCGCTCGGGTGGGCGCGTTGTTCCCTACTATCACTACAGAAACTACGGGGGAACTCAGGCACGGTCTTCCTCATTCGACAACAAGACACTTTCAGATACCACGTAAACCACGAATAATGAAAGGGTCTTTCTGAACGATGGTCGGTGACAAGACAAACAGTAATAGCAACATCTTTTCCAAGTGGGGAATCAAGGTCATATCACATGGGAGTATCGCTGCTCGTGATTCGGAAAAGAAAGGCCTACACGCTATTGGCTACAACGCCAATTCCGATCGAGACGGCGCGCAAGCGCAACACATAAAAATGAAGCGGTGAAAAACGCACATACCAATAGACCGCCTTCGCACACGTTGAAGCATGACTGGAACGAGAAAGCATCGATGGGCTGCAGAAGATCTTCTTTACACAGCACGAACGTAGTTGTCACTGACACTTTGTATGAACGAATTCAGGATCGTTTTCCAATCACAGAGCGCACGCTACGATACCGATCATACTAACTTAGTGCTCTTCTCTGTCCTTCCGGGACAAGAACTGGGTGCTTGCACACACGTCTGCACGACACGACCGAAAGCTCATATTGAAAATTAAAATCCGAAAGGTTGTAGGAACGAACCAAAACTCGCTCAACAGATGCATGGGGTCACGCCTCCTTCTAAAAAGGAATTCAAAACGACGAACGTGTATCTCGCTGGACGCCCTGCACGTGACCGAAGTAGCGACTTGCAACATCTTCCGAACATCATAATTCCCTTAAACACAACTCACAACAGACTGCACACCGCAACTTCCTCATGCGGGAATCGCGGCCAGAAGCCTGCTTCCTTTTTTAAACCGGGCTACAACAACTTTTTCGGCAGTACTACAGCTTTGACAAAGCAGCAAGACAATCTCTCGAATTTTCACAGCGTTGTTTCCACTGAAGTTCTCAAAGCAGGCGCAGATTCTCACAGGTGTGTCCAAACATCAGCATATTCTCAGTTCAAGCACAAATCTGCTCCCGCTGACTCCACTGCTTTAAAATCTCCAAAAATTGCCCCGCTGAATCATCTCCGCAGTCAGCAAAAGATCCTCCTCCAAGCAAACAATTTCGAAAGCTGGCATTAGTCCGGCGAAGCACTTAGTGCTTCAGCTTGGTGCGGCGCCAGTGGCGGCGCTTGGCGTTGTACCTGGTAGAGGTTTGGAAATTTAGGATTTGATGTCATCGGCGGTCTACGGCATAAACTCAGCACACCTCATTGCCAGACACTGCTGTTGTCACACTTCGCATAAAAAACGTCACTTGTGATGCAAAAGGAAAAGATGGGAAAAAACAAAAGGTTATAGTACTTGATCTTGTCCTGCTTCAGGCGGAACCACTGCGGAAGCGGGCGGTTCTGCTTCATCTTCTTCGCGAGAAGCATCTTCAGCTTGAAGGTCTTGATGGAGCCCATTTTGCCGTTTTGGTTTGGACTAACCAAAAGTGCCTAAGTCGTACTAAGCCCTTTACGGTTCCCTGGAAAAAGAGTTGATGTGGATGAGAAATTTTCATGTTTGCAGTCAGCGGCTCCTTACAGGAAAGGAAGTTCTTCTTAGTCGGAAACAGAACGGATCGCTAGATTTTTCTGTATTCTTTGATCTCCGGTCACTTATCGGAACCTTGATCGTTTTCGTGACGAGATTTAGATCTGCTTCTTTCACTGTTACTTACATCAGGGCGTGCTCTTTGTCGTCGCAAACTGGATCTAAATTCTGATCAAGCGGATCCTTTCCCATTGCTTAGCATGATCGAGATCGAGGCGAGCTTTATGTTGGAGACGCTTGTAATTGTGTCTGTCTTGGTCTTTAAATTGCTTCGATCTTGTGGAATTCGTCTCAGAGATGAACGTGTGCTCAACCATTTCTCAACAGCAACTCTCGCGGGCCCGGCAAGAACAAAAATTTCGATGCGCGACGAGGCAACTTTTACCTTCAGATGATTTCAAAGAAATCCGACTTCATGGACCCAAAGTTCACTTTTACTCACTGAATCCATTTCCACCTCTACTGCAGCAGTGTACGAAACACCGCTATTCATAATTTAGATTTCTGCCTCTTGGTCCCAGTATCATTCACCACTTCGGGCATTTTCAACACAAGTTTCAAACTCCTCGGCACCGCGTTTTCCTCACCCGCAGGGTCGTCACAATTCTCTCCGAATTCCGTGATTTCGTCCCAATACTGATGGATCTCCTTCCAGTCCACGGGCTTCTGCCGCACCTGCTCCGTCCCCAATTCCGGAAAGTACACCCCTCCACTTCTTTGAAATTTGATCTCCGCGTAGAACCCCGGCCCCGCTTCAAAAATGCGACCGGTGATTCCGTCGGAGGCGGAGCAGAGGAGGTAGGTCACGAGGGGTGCGATGTGCCCCGGGTCCGCGCCGGACGTGTAGTGCTGCAGCCCGACCGTTTTGGTCATCGCGGTGAGGGCGGTGGGAATGATCACATTAACGTGGATATTTTGCTTCTTGCCCTCCTTCGCGAGTGATTTGGAGAAGCCCAGGATCGCCGTTTTCATACCTAGAAGAAAGCAATCTTTTTCGATCCTTCGCAGAGCATGAACTCATCTTGCGCAGTTCGGGCTGCGCCTTCTGACACACGGAACTAATACTTGCAGCATTGTTATTCATCAGACAGGGATAACTTGATTTAAATTCGCATCGAGATCTGTTGACCCCTCCGAATAGAGGTGTCAGAACTCAAGGTTGGTCATCACGCTTGATAGTTTTCCGGGCTCCTGCTACCCATGAATAGACGAAAGGGACTAAAACTCAGACAGGGATAACTTGATTTAGATTCACATCGAAGTTTGCTCGTGACAAACCTCTTTGAATAGAGGTGTCAGAACTCAAGGTTGGTCATCACGCTTGCGAGCAGCTGCTAAAGACTCTACGCCTACTGTAAAACTAAAACTCAGACAGGGATAACTTGATTTAGATTCACATCGAAGTTTGTGCTCTTGACAAACCTCTTTGAATAGAGGTGTCAGAACTCAAGGTTGGTCATCACGCTTGCGCGAGCTGCTAAAGACTCTACGCCTACTGTAAAACTAAAACTCAGACAGGGATAACTTGATTTAGATTCACATCGAAGTTTGCTCTTGACAAACTTCTTTGAATAGAGGTGTCAGAACTCAAGATTGGTCATCATAGCGGGTGTCCCGGATCTTCTACTGTAGCATTTGGATCCTAATGCGTCACGCGCGTTTTGCATGTAGTCAGACCGTCGTAGTCTTTAGCTTTTCTGTTTTCACTCACGGTTTCCGAGAGGAAATCAGAGGATTGACAGATTTTAGAAAAAGTTGTGTCATCATGGCAAAGGAGTCGTGCGTTCTTCATTTCGATCTTTAGAACTGGTTGGCCGAGTACACCTGTACTCGCGAACGAGCAGCATTCTTTCGCAAAATCATACGTATGTCTCAGTTTTTAGGTCTCCAACGCCTCCTTTTGGAAAGAGTCTCGGAAAAGATTAAGCCTTAGAAGGTTGTAATCATGTTGGACTAAAGATCTCTGCAGGACTCAATTTTTTTCAATTTACCGGATCAGAAGGTACTTACCGCCGATCAGATCCGAAAGGCCGTTTGCTTCAGTGAATTTCAGGCGGCATGAGCAGTGCTTTATGATCGTTATGTTCGCCCTTCACAAGTGCAGTTAATGAAAGTGAAACAAAATAATCGAAATCGATATACTGGCATAATTCGTCTGGCCGTAGGCTCCACAGATCCCGTTCATGGAGCTGACGTTCACGATCTTGCCTCGCTTTTGCTCGAGAAACAGCGGCCAGCACTTCTTGCACAAATTTCGCACGCCGAGCAGGTGTAAATCGTAGATCTGCCTCCACTGCTCGTCGCTCTGGTTTTTGAACGCTACGTCCCGAAGGATGCGGTTTGAAGAGAAAAAAGCCGGAGTTTCTCTTGCGGAGAGTTGCCGTTTTGTTGGAAAAGTCGCGCTTCGCGCAACTTGTTGTGTTCGAGTAATCACAGTGATGTCATGCAAAACGATTTGAATCTAAAGGCGGCAACTCCACCGCCTTTCGTCTCCACTACGTCTTTGTTCTGATACCCCAGCATTGTTCACCAATCCGGTCGGCGGCCCTCCCAGATATCGCATACAGTCTTCCACTATCTTCGCTGCGCCATCTGGTGCACCACCGCTTTCCGGTGCGATGCTGCTGGTGTTCACGCCAACTTTCGTTTTCGGACTGAGAATCCTGATCTCCGACGCCACTGCCTCGGCATTCTTCCCATTGATGTCATTTACCAGAAGTCCACCCACGCCGGCATTGGCGAGGTCCAGGCAATAGGCGCGGCCAAGACCGGCGCCCGCCCCGGTCACGATAACCCGGGCGGTGGACAGGTCGGAGGGAGGATGCATTTTTCTCGAAGCTGTGACGGAAAAAGTGGCAAGCGCTGATTTTTGACGGCACACCGCAAATTAGGCAGCGGACGAGATGAGTTTGCGTGCGCTATCCTCATCATGGATTCTCTCGGATATGCTGGCGAACTCCTACGGCGGAAGTTGCGTTCTCGATGTCCGCTGGGCGAACGAACAACAACCAACAGGCGCAGGCCAAGATGTCACTCGCCCCGCCTTCTATCTTGCAGGGACGGGACTTCGGCGTAAAGTGCCTCCGAGGAATACCTTTTCGCACACAGAAGGGGTCCTTTGCGTCCCCTTGCAGCAAGAAGCATGCGCGGGGCCGCCAGCAACCTGGAGTCGGCCGGTAACTAACAGCAGAAACAAACGGCGCGCGACGGGCGTATTCAGTTCGGTAGCAAGAACACGGACGCGCCCAAATTGCTTCGCTCGCCGGAAGAAACACTGGCCGAAGGGGGGCGAGTCAGCCCTGCTGGCGCGGCGTCGCGCCTCCGCTCCTCGAAAGACGCTGCGCGGCGCCCGAGGCAGGGAGTCCGCCAAGCGAGCCACGTCCGCGGGCTCGGACAATTGCCCGGCGCCCGCAGGCGGCGCCAGCGCGCTGCCCGCTGGCGAATACCGCCCCGAGAGCGCTCCCTGTGAGAACCGCGAGGGCTGTGCTTTTGCCGTTGCCGCCGGAACCTCTGAAATGCAACAGCAGCGGGGCATAGGCGCACTGCTTCCGCAAAGGGCCAGGCACATGCTGGCGAGCCACATCGCCAGCGCGCGCGGCGAACGTCGTCGCGACCATTTCTCTGAGCCGCATTATGTCCGCACCAGGCGGGTCGCGCTTCAGCCCGTGCGGAATCCCCATACAGCACTTATTCCGCGCTTGTTGGGAAATCGAAGTCGGAACAATGGGCACGCCCGCCCCTGGCGCGGCCCGCGAGAAGCAAAAACAAAAAACGGCGCGGGTCGCTTCTCCGCGGCGTGTTGAATTCCTGCACGCTGGTCAGCGGCGAGGGCGCGACTGTTCGACTGAAGCGCGCGCGGTTGGCTCATTCCATCGACCCCACTGTATCGCCCCTGCGCACTTTCGCGATTTCCCTGACGCGAAGCCTTTCCGTCGCCGCCTCTATCGGCGCAACCTGTTCACCTGGCAGAGCCAATCCATCGCAAGGCCCTGCCGGAGTTTACTCCGCTGCTGCGACGGAGGGGCCGGCACGCAGTCCTCCACGGCGCCCAAATCGCGGCTACAGCACCAACGCCATTCTCCTTGCTTCGTTTCCGAGCATGGTTCTAATGATGGGCACATCTTTGCATAGGCGTGACGCATGGTGATCAGACGCCGCCTCTATTTTTCCTGCGCCCTCGTCTCAACACGCTTCACATTGTTTCTTGCAGCTCGGTCTTTTCTCGTCGCTCGGTACATTGTACTACATTGACTGCAATTCACACCTCTCTTCGCTCCCCTGACAGAACTCGCGTGATCCAAAAGAGGAGCACCCTTCACACGGTTTACCTCGCCATGCGCACACGCCGCCCGGAGTTTCTCAAAGTTTGAATCTGTACAGTCCATACATTTGAAAGCTCGGTGTCCGTCTGGGTTCATTTTGGATAGTACTAGAGCACAAATATCAAAAACAGGTCCATGGTATTCTTGCATTAGGGAACAAGTCGGTAGTTTCTAGTCCGTTGTGTCTTACGTAGTTGTAAACGAGAAAGTAAAAGTTCTAGTGCGGCTTGAATAGGGCGTTTTCTTGGTGGGAACTCGAAGACGTCGCATACATTGGTAAAAGTTTGTAAAACAGAGACAATAAGGAGGAAATCCTGCACGGGAAATACTAGGTCCTCAATTTGCTAAGTAGCTTCAAATTGCGTACCTACATCGTCCTCAGGTGGGTTGTGCAGTAGCAGCACTTCCACTTCCCCCGACGAGGCTTTTGTACTCATTGAGAAATTGATTTTCAACGCATCGCCTTACTTCTAGACTGCTGCTAAAAGATTGTACAACGGGTTTAACAGCAGGCTTAGTTCTGGAAACACTTCTTGCTACTACCGCACAGGTACAGCCAATACGTAGCTCTTCCGTAGTAGATTGTGCCGAAGATGATTGTGCGCGTTACAACTGAAACGATTCCGTTGCTCTCGGGGGAGCATGCAACAAGTAAAACCTTTATCATCTGCGATTATATTGGAAACTCTTGGAATATCTCTTGATTTAGTGTAACATCTGTCTGCTCGTACATAACAATACTGGAAATTAAGCAATTTTGATTGGAAATTCGTAACCGCGAATAATTCAATTTCAACTTTATCAGGCATTAGGCGTAAACAATTATCTGAAGAGGACCACTTTCATTGAGAGGCCTGCGCGGTCTCGAAAACATCTGAACCACATCACCATCACATACAGAAACAACCCCACGCCGCGCTACCTGCTCACCACGACCACTCAGAAGTGTTTCTTTTTGTTCGTGCTCTTCTCGTAGCCTTTACTCTCCCGCGACCTCCGTCTCTTCCCACCGCCCTCCCCGCGCGACTCGGGTCTTAGTCGTGCCTGCAAAATCTCGAATTCCTCTCGCCGGTTCGCCTCGAAGGACTCGATGTAGGGTGTGTTCCCCGTTCCCATCAGCGATCCGGACGTTTTCTGCGACAGCAACGCGGACTGCGATCCATCTTCCTTCTTTTTCTTCTTCTGCGCGCTTTGCTCCTGCTCACCCGGAGTAGTCCCGGCGAGCGCTCCTTCCAGCTGTTGTCCCTGGTTTACTTCCCGGTTTTGTTGGCTCTTTGAACTCGGGGGACGGAGTTTTTCTAGTTCTTCCTCTCTCTTCCGCTTTATCTCCTCCTGCTCTTCGTAGTAAACTCCGTGGTCGATGTCGAGTAAGTCCATGACGTCGCAGCCGAAGCAGTTTGCCAACGTCACGAACGTGTCCAGAATCCCGATCGGGGACAGCGTATGCACTACAAAAATGTTTGGGTCTGGAAGTCTACAAGTTTGTCTTGCTTGGCTAGCATGACTCTTAAGTCTGTCATGCACGTTACCCAAAAGCCACAGCTTTCAGACATGCAAAAACGCAGTTTGTCATGCTGGATAGACAACACCTATCAACTCAGTAGAAATTTGTCATGCTCAGCCGTCATTTGTAGCGTCCTCATGATTCGCCCATCAGCATCACAGGTTTATTCCAGACCCAGACATATTTGCCGTTCATACAGCGTCAACCTTGACAACCCCCTCACCGGGGTGACGTCGTCCGGCTTCACCCACAGATCCGGAATCCCCGCGGACACGGGGTTCAACCCGATAATCGCCAGCTTCGCAATTTCCGCGATGTGCTTGCTCCGGCAGAGCAGTTCCACCGGATGCGCACTCGGGTCGTAGATCTGCGCGAATTTCTTCTTGTCAATCAGCAGGCTCCGCAACCGGTCGGTCAGATACAGAATGTAAATGTACAACTCCTCCACACCCAGTCTCCCCGCCCCCAACGCGAAGATGTAGCGCGCGGTGTACTGGAAACACCGGTACAGAAACGTTCTTCTCCGCTTCAGCCGCACGACGTGCAGATAGCCCCGGTTGAACACGTGGCGGGACTTGTGGCACTTGAACACCTCCCTGGCGGATTCGGAGTAGCAGAAGGAAAGCAAGTTCGATTCCTCGTGGGTGTCGAGGGTGAGTTCGTCCTCTTCCAGCTCCTCCTCCTCGGTTGTACTAGAGGAATGCGTCGCAGTCTGTTGCTCCTCGCCGCTCGTGGCATTCAGGTTGTCGTCTCCCGAGTTGCTGTTTTGCGCCACCGCGATCGCGACCACAGCGGCGGGAAGCTCAGGCCCATCTTCTACCTGGCCGCCTTGCTGTTTCCTGCCTGCTTCTTTTGTTGCGCCGCTTTGGGGGCGACTTGACGTTTTCTTGCCTGCTTGTTCATCTGCTTGTTCTCCCGCATTTTCTCTCTCCGCCGTGCCCGGTTTCGAATTCTCATTCAGTTGCTCCAAGCCAAAATTGTCCGGAATGTCTTCCCCATCTACCGCCTCCTTGGCCGGAAATTGACTATTGTCCTGCGCCACCACCGCGACCGTCGCGGCGTTTGGAAACAAACCTCCATTATTACCATTTCGCTCTCTTCTCATTTGCCTTTTCCGGTCCCGCATGAACCACGGCCCCTCGTCCTCCGATTCGAAAATCCGACTTCTCGCCGGGGCAGCCAACCGGTCCTGTATCCCGAGTAAAAACGTACCCACGCCAGGGTTGTAATGCAGATTTGCAAAGACAGGAAGACTTGTAATGCGGTCCCCATGAGAGCTATTTCCAATCGTGTTTTGGAATTTGTGATGCTGTGAACAGGATGAGCAGATGAATCTGTGATGCCGCTGCACTTGCTGACCTGCACTACACTGCGTAGTGCAACTTGTCATGCGTGACTCACAAAACTCCTAGGTTTGTGTTGCAAAATCACCATCCTAAGTCTGGTGTGGGTACGTTTTTACTCAGGATACCCTGGTACTCGAACTCATCCTCGCTGTCGTCGTCGGGCGGTAGACTGAACCGCACCCGGTCGACCGGATTTTCCCACCCGTCCGCCGTGTCGACGGAACTGTCGCTGTAGCAACTGCTGTCGTCCTGTAAGATCCTCCTCCTCCGGGTTTTGCTGGTGACTTGGAACAAGTTCGACTCGTCCGTCTTGTACGCGCGCTGGCACTGCGCGGCGTAAATGTCGGAGATTTCGAATTTCAGCTTCTCCAGCCGGTTATGCTCCGCCTCCATGCGCTTCGACCCCTGCAGCCGAACCTTGTCGAACCACAGGTCCTTGCCCCGTTTCTCCTCCAATTTTCGCAACGACAGGCCTCGCAAGTCTCCCTGTCGGTTCTGGTTCTCCTTCAGCTGCTTTTTCCGTTGCAGCGCCGCGGCCGACGACCCCCCGTCCCCTGGACTGTTGCCCGCGTACCGCGCGGCTGTCTTCTGCGCGTACTCCCGCCGGTAGTCCAGGCAGTCCTGCAATTCCATTCTTAAATTCACCCGGGAGAAAAGCGGGGCAATGTCTTTCATCGCGAGAATTGGCTCGGCGGGCAGCTCGGCGGGCGTCAACCTGTACATGTACCGCTTCACGCGGAGCTGCTCGTCGGTGATGGCATCCAGGTCGTCCTCGTCCCCTCCGTTCCCACCACCGCCGAACGCCACCAGCGCGCCCTCCGCGCCGCTCGCATTGCGGCTCGCGTTGGCGGAGGAAGAGCTCGTGTGGCCGCGGGGTTTCGGGAAGACGGGGTCGATGAAGTTCCCCTGGCTAGTTACTTCGTAGAAATTCTGTTTGTCGAACCGAAACCGGCCGACCAGGCCGCACACCCCGTTCCAGTTTGTGTCGGGAACCACCAGGGAGCCCGGAGCGTTGTCGTTCTTTGGCTTATTATTCGCTGACGCGGAAGATGTACCACCACCTCCTGCAGCATTTCCGCCAGGAGCAGGTGAGGACCCACTAGTTGTACCGGCGACGACAGACACGGTTTTCTTTTCCCGCTCCGGGGAGTTCGGTGGTGGCTCGTCCCCCTGTGTCAAAAACGTTTTGTTCGGCGAGTTCTTGTTCGGAGATGTTGGTGGTGGTCTATTCATCTGGGAGCTGTCCTGGATCGCAGCCGAAGCAGCGCCCGCCGCGAAACCGCTGTTGTTCCCCAACATCTTCATAGCCCCCACTCTTGGCACTGGCAGCGGCGCGGAGCCGAAGAACGCTAACGCAGCTTCCTCTCCCTTCTCGTGGACCCACCAATCGAGGAATTCCTTGCCGTACCGGCCGGCTAAAAAAGGTAAGAGCGAAATTCCGTTGTGGACCCAAAACACGTCCGGCGCGCCGATGGTCTTCATCATGTGCTCGTGGGTGCTGGAGGCCCACACCTGCAACTCGTGCTCGCCCTTCAATTTCTCCTGCTTCGAGCCCCCACCGCCCTGTTGCTCGTTGTTGCCGTCGTCGTCGTCATCCATGACCGCCATGCCCGCGGGACGTAAGGGTGCGCCCTTTACCGTCACCGTCATGAAGAGCAGGTTCGAGTACGAGTCGTGCACCTCATCCGAGCTGTTCCTCGTGTGCAACCCCCGCGGCGTCCACTGCTCGTCTTCGCGCTTCACCTTCTCCCTCACTAATCCGGCGACCTTCTCCGTGTTGGACAAAAATTTCTTCCGGTTTTGCTTCACCCGCGCCTGCTGCATCTTCGCGTTCTCCAGGCCGGACTGCTCGGAAAAGCTGCTCGACTGCAAGTCCCCGAACCGGTTCGGCTTCTTCGCCTCCGCGGCGACCTGTCCCAGTTGCGCCGCCTGCGCTTGGACCATCGCGCGGTAGCGCCCAAAAACCTCCGCCTGCCGCAGCATCCAGGTTTTTTCCAAC